TTTTTTATACTAACACACAGAACTCATCGAATAAATTTTGTAACTAAAAACGATATTTTAAATCATTTATATTAATACTTAAATCTCGATACTTACGAAACCGTAACTTCAATCCGAATATTAAATTAATATCGATATTCTAATGATTACATTAATTTAAATAAAAATGCATAAATGTACGTGTAACGAAATACATGCACATGAATGAATACACGTGTATTTAAACATACGTGAATGAATACACGTGTATTTAAAAATACGTAAAATAATACACGTGTATTTAAACATACGTAAAATAATACACGTGTACACGTGTGCTTATTATGACACGCGTACAAGTGTGTTTTTAATATACGTTCAAAATCACAAACTCCACTGCGAACAAACAATTTAACCATTATTTCAGCCTTTCCCAACGTGAAAATCGCTGTATTTTCTTCAAACGAAAATTGCTCGCTGTATATTTTCACTTTCCGCCGCGTTCGGCAATTGTATTCGAAATTAGTTGACATCCAATCAGAAGTTACCGGAGCCTTACAAACTATTTTACGAGGCCGGGGATCGGTGAGGAGGCGGTAGGGGGGCAAGTTAGATGAAACCGAGGGTCGTAACGCCGCGTCCATACGGCAGCGAAAAGAAAGTTCCACGGCGTAAAGCGAATTACCAGTCCCTGTATCGAGTTTCGGGCGTCGTCGTGAATATTTTCCGGCCGGATGGCTACATTTTCGAGTGGCTCGCCTGTTTCAAGTAGCCCGCCGCTAAATTATGGCTACGACCGTAGAAGTGGTGTCGTTTGCAAACTGACTATACGCCGCCGCCATTCCGGCCGTCTGGCCACGGCCCGGGCCATTCTACTCGGCGGGCTACTTACGGACCTATTCTACTGGCCGGCCCGTATGCAGGGACCTTCCACCGGCAAATGGGGATAGTTTCCCTTTGCCATTGTTACCGACAGTTCTTGAACTATCCGACAACCATCCTAAGCGTTTCGCGCGGCTTAAAAGTTCCAATTTATTAGGGCCGCCCTCGGTCGCCCGTCCAAAATTCTATTAGACCCTTAACACATTTTATGCAGAAATTCCGAAGTTCGGCTGGATAATAAATTACGGATCTGCGAAAATTATAGTCAGAGGCGTCTGGAAATATGGAATGGCATAGTCATTTCGTCGGGACAGTTTTACATTAATTGCCAAGAAAAATTGGTACAGTGAATTTTCTTCAATCGTTATCCGGCTTGTAAATAGAAATGGAGAAATTTGGAAAGAGGAGATGGGATTATAATACTTTTTATATTGTTATATTATTTATTTTATTTTATATATTTTATATTTATTAATTTATTATATCATTCATTGTATTTTATATTTATTCATTTATTATATTATTCATTATATATTCATTATATATTATATATATTATATATTATTCATTATATTTTATATTTATTCATTTATTATGTTATTCATTATATTCATTATATTTTATATTTATTCATTTATTATATTATTCATTACATTCTATATATTTTATATTTATTCATTTATTATGTTATTCATTATATTCTATATATATATATATATATATATATATATATATATATATATATATATTATATTTATTTATTTATTATATTATTCATTATATNTGTACACGTGTGCTTATTATGACACGCGTACAAGTGTGTTTTTAATATACGTTCAAAATCACAAACTCCACTGCGAACAAACAATTTAACCATTATTTCAGCCTTTCCCAACGTGAAAATCGCTGTATTTTCTTCAAACGAAAATTGCTCGCTGTATATTTTCACTTTCCGCCGCGTTCGGCAATTGTATTCGAAATTAGTTGACATCCAATCAGAAGTTACCGGAGCCTTACAAACTATTTTACGAGGCCGGGGATCGGTGAGGAGGCGGTAGGGGGGCAAGTTAGATGAAACCGAGGGTCGTAACGCCGCGTCCATACGGCAGCGAAAAGAAAGTTCCACGGCGTAAAGCGAATTACCAGTCCCTGTATCGAGTTTCGGGCGTCGTCGTGAATATTTTCCGGCCGGATGGCTACATTTTCGAGTGGCTCGCCTGTTTCAAGTAGCCCGCCGCTAAATTATGGCTACGACCGTAGAAGTGGTGTCGTTTGCAAACTGACTATACGCCGCCGCCATTCCGGCCGTCTGGCCACGGCCCGGGCCATTCTACTCGGCGGGCTACTTACGGACCTATTCTACTGGCCGGCCCGTATGCAGGGACCTTCCACCGGCAAATGGGGATAGTTTCCCTTTGCCATTGTTACCGACAGTTCTTGAACTATCCGACAACCATCCTAAGCGTTTCGCGCGGCTTAAAAGTTCCAATTTATTAGGGCCGCCCTCGGTCGCCCGTCCAAAATTCTATTAGACCCTTAACACATTTTATGCAGAAATTCCGAAGTTCGGCTGGATAATAAATTACGGATCTGCGAAAATTATAGTCAGAGGCGTCTGGAAATATGGAATGGCATAGTCATTTCGTCGGGACAGTTTTACATTAATTGCCAAGAAAAATTGGTACAGTGAATTTTCTTCAATCGTTATCCGGCTTGTAAATAGAAATGGAGAAATTTGGAAAGAGGAGATGGGATTATAATACTTTTTATATTGTTATATTATTTATTTTATTTTATATATTTTATATTTATTAATTTATTATATCATTCATTGTATTTTATATTTATTCATTTATTATATTATTCATTATATATTCATTATATATTATATATATTATATATTATTCATTATATTTTATATTTATTCATTTATTATGTTATTCATTATATTCATTATATTTTATATTTATTCATTTATTATATTATTCATTACATTCTATATATTTTATATTTATTCATTTATTATGTTATTCATTATATTCTATATATATATATATATATATATATATATATATATATATATATATATNATTATATTTTATATTTATTCATTTATTATGTTATTCATTATATTCATTATATTTTATATTTATTCAATTATTATATTATTCATTACATTCTATATATTTTATATTTATTCATTTATTATGTTATTCATTATATTCTATATATTTTATATTTATTCATTTATTATATTATTCATTATATTTTATATATTTTATATTATATATTTTTATATTATTATGCCACGTTTTGTTTTTGCCATTTCTGTTCACAAGCTGGAAGACAATTGGAGAACATTTACTGTATCTTACAGCATTGGCCTGATTAACGCAATCTCGTTCTACTTATATCGACAAATACAATTTTTTAAATTGCCTGACCAAACTCGTTTCCCACCACTTAGCAAAATCATGTATGATCTTATTCTGCTTGTTTTATTTCTCTATATTTCATATCGTATATATTTCTCTTTATCTTATTTCTCTACGAATCACTTTAAACCGTTTTCCACACAGAACATGATTTTCAACAAGTTCTCCGAACTTGCATTGCTCGACTAACTAAATACAAACTTCAGCGACCGGTCAGCCCCCGCACGATTTTTTACCGCCATTCAGCCGAGACATATTTTATCGTCGTTCGACGAGTTCCAGGACTATCGGCGACCGGCACGCGAAAGTTCAAGGAGACCCGGGGAAAATACGAGTGGCAATAAAGGCGGCGATTGTAAAACCAAGTGACAGTGAAAAGGCCGTTCCGAATGAACGTGATCCGTTCGGCATTCGCGACGCGGACCGTTCATAAACGAAGATTCTTTCGCGCTTTATTACCTGCCATTGTCAGCGGCTGCACAGTCCCGGCACGAAATGGCTCGCGTCGACGGGAACGCGAACGGGGTTTCGCGCGGCACCGTTATCAGCCCTTAAATCCGGCATATTCCAGTTAATTACTTGGGCCCGCGCCTTTTATCAAACGCGAGACACTCTCCGGCATCCGGCAACTCGGCGACGCAAAGTCTCCGCGCGTCCTCCAGCCGGTCGTATCGCAATATAATTATTCCCGGCGTCAGGCTGCAGGCTCCGATGCGTTTTACACCGTATTACAAGCTCCCCGGACTTCTGTGCCGCGTTGATAAATTGTAACGAGCTTTTCTCGGACCCGATGGAACTCTTCCAGCGAGCCGTGTCCCGATCCGATTCCAATCCCTGCGAATGGATGCGTGGAGGACTCTGTTACAATCGCATTTACGGTGCCTGATAGGCGCGCTGAGATTCCAGTGTACCTCGAAGGTCCTGGAACAGCCGCTTCGTCCACTTTCCCTTTGCGTTTCGAGGGGGTCGAAGGGCGAAGGCGCGTGGGAGTAATGATAAGTGTATGACAGTGCGCGTGTAATGTATAACAAATAGTAAATATATTTGTGCAAGTGTATGTATAATATATATCTAATATATATCTCTAATTTATGTTATATATTAACTAATATATATCTCCAATATGTATAATATATATCTAACATATGTCTGATATATATAATATATAATATATAATATGTATAATATATTATCTAATATATATCTAATATATCTCTGATATATTTAATATATAATATATAATATGTATAATATATTATCTTATATATATCTCTATTTTATATAATATATAATATATATAATATATTATCTAATATATAATCTCTAATATATAAAATATATATGTATATAATATATATATTATCTAATATATATCTCTAATATCTATTCTCTTCAAAAACTCAATTTTCTCAGCCAATTTTCCAAATTCCGTCAAACAGCTAAGCAAACATGATTTCAAAGATTCAAGCTTCAAGAAAGTGCAATAAGAATAAAATCAATCCCCCCACCCCTCCTCGAATGTAAAATAGAAGAATAGAAGGCCCCCTTAAGTCTACAAATTATGTTCGTTCCATTCATTCACAGAAATCATTTTATAGCATTTTATGTCACACGCAAGCGTAGAAAAATTCGCAGCGCAATTTTAAATAAATATTATCTGCATCCGATGCGTATAATTGCCTTTTGTTTCTATATTTTGTGCAGTTGTCCAGCAGCGAGTACTTCAGCGTCAGCTTCGATGTATCCGAGGACATTGGCTCACTGGACCGGGACGAGTTGCTCCCAGCATTGAAGGGGACTTGTTTGGCGTAAGTGTTGTACCAAAACGTTAGCCCATAATTGCCTGGGACTTCGGTCTTCTGCTATGATACCCTAGAACCAGCTTGCTCGCGCTCCTGATTATCGTCGTTAAACTAGGACGGTTTATGCATTTACAGCGTCTCCTAAACTGCGGATCGCAGTAAAACAAGGATTACCGTAAATTCCGCCACTAGACACGCATTAAAATCGACAGGGTGTCGCACACAGCCTTTAATGCGAGAAATGGCCTGGAAACATTTTCTCCATTTTTACGTGACTATTCGCGCGATCGTGCTTCGAACGATCCCGAACATTTCGAATGCGAAATCTTATGAAAGTTGCGATGGCTGCGCGCCATTCATGGAGCAATCGATGGGAGAAAGGATAGTTTATTTAAACAGCTGCCGCATAGTGGTCTGGAACGCGTAATTTTTGGCAAAATTAAATAGTTTCTGTAATCGAAATATGTTAAAGAAAATCGTGCTTCTATGGATTAGTTGCGTGATTTGCACTCTTACGTTAATAATATACTTATTAATAAATATTTCGTTGTAAATAATGTACAAAATGACTACTTAAATGATAGAATATTTGATAAGTAATGTAAACCGATCGCAAGGTATTGTAAATATTCTAAATGAACGAACCAGCAGGACTAATATTCCAAGATAAAAATTCCAAACGCGAAATTTAGCGTTTATTGAATTATAAACAATAGATATGGACCACGTTCCTTTGCTCGTCTATCGTTGAAGTCAGAACCGCGGATCGAACTGAGGCGAAGCGACGTTGAAAATGTCGCGTCGCGGTTTGCTAAAATCCGTGTAAAATTATTTTTTAATTTATGCGCGAATAATCGCAGCTAAAATTTGCATAACCCTTTTCGCAATATTGTAAGCTTTCATATGAAACAAATCTGATGTCCAACATATTCTATCATTTTTTAAAAATCGTTCTTAAAGTCTACATTGCAATTGCCTTCGTATTACTCGCATGTTAATTAAAATCTGCCCATATCGTGATTGAATAACTAATATACGTGTATGCTATTCAACGTCAAGATAGTATCTTGATGCTCCTAATCGCGTAATTAAATCGAACTTCAGCTTTAAACTCCAATCTCGAAATTCTAACTTCATGACATTATATTTAATTACAGAGTTATCTGATGAAAGCAATATTCCGGTTATCGAAGCTTCGAAGGGTTATCAATTCACAGGAGCAAACATCATTTTCATAAATTAAAGTTGAGAAATTGTTTCTTTGCCAAAAATTACGTAGCTCCACGCCAATTCAATGCTTGGAAACGCACGAAGCGTCGAGACTTAAAAGGAGAAGTCAGAAAGCATGAGATTCATTTTTTAATGAGTTATTGCAGCGTGGTAGATCTCTTAAAACTGTGTATTGAAATTATGAACAGTAGATATGGGCCACGTTGAAATAATACCCAAAATGATACCTAAAATGATACCAAAAATGATACCCAGTTTTATGTGCAGACGCCTGACAATTCCTTTAATTATTTAATGTCAAAGTTGTTAGTAACAAAGTCAGAAATTGAGCGAGTCTTCCCATAGTTTCCTCCCCGTCGCTCCCCAGCATCCAAAATCTAGCTTATCCTCCTAGCATTGTTACCAACAACTTCATCGTTAAATATCTCCCGAATTATAAGCCATCCGCGCGAAAGACGAGATCCACAACTCCGCAGGATTTCATCGAAAAGCGAGCGCCAACGCCTGCGAGCGTCTCCTCGTTAAATAATAACAGTTAGGTCACTTTTAACCGGCGCTCTAATTAAAGGGACTATTTAACTCGAAGCAGTCGGATGAAGTCGGCACATTCGCAGCAGAAATTGAATTCGTGCCCGCCGGAGACATCTGATAAGACGCAATTAAGAAGTGACGAGGGAAGTTTCGAGCGTGGCCAACAGACGTCTCCGAAGCGGCGCGGAGTCGCGCCGCAGTTCAAGGAGAGATCCACTCGAACCGGCCGAAATTCCCGCTTAAAACAGTAAATTTCTCGGGATCGTCCGCCTGTCTGCTAGTCAGGCGATTCAGACACAGTCGTGTCGGAGCGGCCGGATCCCGAAGGGGCCCGCGGCCGTCGCGTCGGAATCGTCGACGGGGACGCGTTTTCACGGGCAGGGGGCGGGGGAGGGCAAATTTCATTTCGAACGATTTACGCGGGCCGTAAATAGCCGCGGCGCGGCGTGCGGCAGCTCCGCGGAATTCCGGCGCGTCCGGGATGAAAGGCGCGAATTTCGCCGATGCCCTTGAGCGGAGAGGAGCCACGCTCTGCCGAGCACTTTGAGCCAGCCGCCGAGCTGTCGCATAATAATTTCATGCTAAATAATACCGCCCCAACAATAGCCGGGATCCCCTCGTCGCGAAGCCTCTTGTCGAGCTATTAACTCGCCGCCTTGTATCCCAGCTTGCCGCGTCTTCGCCGGAAGTTCTCCGATCTTCGCCGAATCCGTCGTCGCTGGCAATCCAATTACCGCGACGATGAAATCTGTGTTCCAAACGAGAGATCCTTTCCAGCCATAAATTCCACGCGAAACCGAAGAACCGCGGGGTGCCGTCGCGTTCGAACCCAAGCCGAATCTAATTTCGCGGATGCGCGCGGATTTTTGCCGGCTCGGCGAGCGAAGATCGCGCACGTTCGGCTCTGTTTTGTTTCGTTTTGTTTTTTTCACACGGTTAACCTCCGCGCACGATTTTTCGCCACGTTCTCTTGTGTTTGCTTTTACACGGTTTTGTAATTCGTTTTGTGCCCCGCATCGCGTTTCATTTGCTCCGGCACGGTTCACGCCGGGATTTTGTAACGCCGCGGTGAAAGAGCCTTTTAAAAGCTTTTGTGCCCGCCGACTTTCGGACCAGTTTACCCGGCGATTTTCGACGATTTTCGGCGACGGCCGACAGCCGCCTGTCTACCGACCTCGTCGAAAGGTGTCGGGAGCCGAACGGCTTCCCAGCTTATCCAGTAAACACCGCAACCGCCGACTCGTCTAAATTATTGAGCGCAAACTACCGGTGCTCCACAGTCGTTGTCGGGAATACTGCGGCGCGACCCGGTTCTCGCAAACAGTTAATATTCCATAATTCCGCGCCGCGTTTCTGGCATTGTCGGTCGGAGATCGTCCCTTCGTCTCTCGCTCTCTCTCCCTCGCGCTCTCTCTCACTCGTTCTCTCTCTCTCCCGTTCTCTCTCTCTCTCTCTCTCTCGTTCTCTCTCTCGCGTTCTCTGTCTCACGCGCGCTCTCTCCCGCGCTCTCCCTCTCGCTCTCTCTCTCTCTCGCGCGCTCTCTGTCTTCCGTTCTCTCTCGCACGCTCTCTGTCACTCGCGCTCTCTCTCGCGCGCTCTCCCTCTCGCGCTCTCTGTCTCTCGCACTCTCTCTGTCTCGCGCGCTCTCTCTCGCTCGTTTTCTCTGTCGTTCTCTCTCTCTCTCTCTCTCTCTCTCGCTTGTTCTCTCTCTTTCTCTATCTCGTTCTCTCTCTCGCTTGTTTCTCTCTCTCTCGCTCTCTCTCTCTCTCTCTCTCTCTCTCTCTCTCTCTCTCTCTCTCTCGGGAGAAACAAGACGCATTTCCGCGCTCGGAAACCCGTCGCGCGAAAATCCACAAGCCCCATGTGGTCGGGTCGCGACGCTAAACCGCGGTGAACTTAGATCCGATCGCGGACAGACATTCCACCGGAATTCCAGCTGTCACACAATGTTCACAGTATCGCAATGCTGGGCAAAATTCATTTTGTGATAATCGTGCGTTATTAATTAATATACAAATACACTGCATGAACGAACACGCACGGAACTTCTCCTCTTTTCGTTTGTTTGTAATGTTTGCTGGAGAAACGCTGGCTAGAATTGGCGTAATTGGTTTGAACACCCCGCGAATAGTTGAAATATTAACGCTATAATAATTAATAATATCAACGTAATAATAATTAACACACGTTGAACGTCCCTAATCGACCGTCAAAATTTCCATTCGAAGGAACTGGAAACTTAAAGCCGCATAGCAGATGCATAGGAGATGGACTCTGACGACTTGGTTAATTAATAAGAAATTATTTATTTTACTGTGTAAGTAATTTTTCCTTTCATGTCACATTCACGTAGCCTCCCGCAACCATTTATTGTGAAAATCAATCCTACTAGCCACAGTAATAGGTGCATTTTTTTGCTATTTTCCCATGTGCGTCAATTACTGTGGCACGTGGCGTGGCGGCTGAAGTCCGCAGTAATTCACGCACGTAAGAAAATAGTAAAAAGATGCGCCAATTACTGCTGTGNTCTCTCTCTCTCTCTCTCTCTCTCTCTCTCTCTCTCTCTCGGGAGAAACAAGACGCATTTCCGCGCTCGGAAACCCGTCGCGCGAAAATCCACAAGCCCCATGTGGTCGGGTCGCGACGCTAAACCGCGGTGAACTTAGATCCGATCGCGGACAGACATTCCACCGGAATTCCAGCTGTCACACAATGTTCACAGTATCGCAATGCTGGGCAAAATTCATTTTGTGATAATCGTGCGTTATTAATTAATATACAAATACACTGCATGAACGAACACGCACGGAACTTCTCCTCTTTTCGTTTGTTTGTAATGTTTGCTGGAGAAACGCTGGCTAGAATTGGCGTAATTGGTTTGAACACCCCGCGAATAGTTGAAATATTAACGCTATAATAATTAATAATATCAACGTAATAATAATTAACACACGTTGAACGTCCCTAATCGACCGTCAAAATTTCCATTCGAAGGAACTGGAAACTTAAAGCCGCATAGCAGATGCATAGGAGATGGACTCTGACGACTTGGTTAATTAATAAGAAATTATTTATTTTACTGTGTAAGTAATTTTTCCTTTCATGTCACATTCACGTAGCCTCCCGCAACCATTTATTGTGAAAATCAATCCTACTAGCCACAGTAATAGGTGCATTTTTTTGCTATTTTCCCATGTGCGTCAATTACTGTGGCACGTGGCGTGGCGGCTGAAGTCCGCAGTAATTCACGCACGTAAGAAAATAGTAAAAAGATGCGCCAATTACTGCTGTGACTAGTAGGATTCATTTTCTGGAGAGATGATAGTGGCAAAGTACATCAATTTTGCATGAAGGGAAAAATTACTTTATCTAAAATTAAAAAAAGTAAAGTAATATACAATTTGTTAGTAATTATTTAGAAAGTAATTGAAGTAATTATAATATATATATAATATTTATTATATTAATATATATAATATTATATTATATATATAATATTTATTATATTAATATATATTATTATTTATATTATATTATAATATATATAATATATATATAATTATAATATACATTATAATAATAATGTATGGAAGACACTCTATATAAATCCACAGTTCGATGAGTCGATCTTAGTATTCTTTGAAAATTACTGTTCTGTTTAAATCATTAGAACAAGCGAAAAACAAGTCGTGCACAGATCATTCCATTGCGCAAAAATTCCCGGTGCATTTGTAATATTTTCTCTGAAAATTCGTACGACTTTCTACACGACTTCTCTTCCGATTTCGTTGTCTTCCGCCGTGTGTTTACCGCGGCTTGCCAATCCGTTCACGACATTGTGCCCTCCGCAATATTTCTGGAAACGTTCGGGTGCAGCCACGGTTACAGACCGAGATTGGATTCGTCTTTAGGGATTGTGCGGAGCGCGTTGCCGCGCCACGCGGACGGAATATCGGTCGTACGAGGCGAAATTGATCGGTCGCTCTTTCGAGATTCCCGACTTTCGGCTGACCGATCGTTCGCCGTTTTCTAGAAGCTACTGTAGAAATTGGGCGGCACGATGCCGACCGTGCGATAAGGATTATTGTCGCTATTATTCCTGCGATAACATTTTTACCACTGGATTGTTGGCGCAGCGCGGATAAGATCAAAAGTTCCTCCGAAAGCGAGGACAAATCTGAGATAGCAGGAATTGGATCAAATAAATTCGGTCGGGATCTACAGAACGCGGGAATGCCGACCGGGGAGTTCTACGATTTTCTACGAACTTCCGTGAGATTGCTGTCAAAGCGTGAACGGGTTCAGCAAATTCGAACTAAAGCTGAAACTGTGCTAAGTTATATTTTGGATTGTCGCGGTGGATTTCCGATTCCACGAATGCAGGAAGTTGACCGGTTGGTCCGAAAGTTCGATTGGATCTGCAAAATGCAAGGAGATTGAAACAGTTCTCGGCATCGTGCGCGTTAACCATGTTAAGTTTGCTGTGATGCCTCTTTTTCAGAGCCTTTCTTTCATGACGAGTATACTCGTCAAGCATAGAGTAAGTGTCGCTGTTAAAATATTGAATCTAAAAGACGGTTTTGTTTTATAAAATTAACGGTCAATGGTCGCTACTTTTTACGCGCGACGAGTATACTCGTCGTGACATAATAATACTGACATTTATCTGTGTCGAGTATACTCGTCATGACGCAATAACACTGACATTTCTTTATGACAAATATACTCGGCATGACACAATAATACTGACATTTCTTTGTGACGAATATACTCGGCATGACACATAATACTGACATTTCGCTATCACGAATATATTCGTCATGATACAATAATTCTGTTATTTCTCTATGACGAATATACTCGTCATGACGCAATAATATTGCCACTTCTCCATGACGAATATACTCGTCATGACACAAATAATATTGCCATTTCTTTATGACGAATATACTCGTCATGACACAATAATACTGCCATTTTTCTATCACGAATATACTCGTTATGATACAATAATTCTGTTATTTCTCTATGACGAATATAGTCGTCATGACACAAATAATATTGCCATTTCTCCAGAACGAATATACTCGTCATGACACAAAATACTGCCATTTCTTTATGACGAATATACTCGTCTTGACACGTTAATACTGTCATTTCTCCATGACAAATATACTCGTCATGACACAATAATACTGCTATTTCTCTATAACGAGTATACTCGTCATGACATAATAATGCTGCTACTTCTCTATGACGAATATACTCGTCATGACGCAATAATATTGCCATTTCTCCATGACGAATATACTCGTCATGACACAATAGTACTGCCATTTCTCCCTGACGAATATACTCGTTATAACACAAAATACTACCACTTTTCTCTGACGAGTATACTCGTCAAACACAGCTAACTGGTTAACTTTTCCACATCGATTTCATCTTCATTAAGGAGCGTCTGTGCTTGCTACGTTTAGTAGAATCATTTTAAAATTCCTATCGCATTCGATCACGCTTCATAGCAAGCGTAAGAGATTTTAATCGCCCGCAGCGCGCACATTTCCCCAGGCCAACGACGACGCCAAATTTAACCTTGTGGTTGTTTCAGGGAGGCATTGAACACCAGTTGCGAGCGACGCGGTATCGACTTGTCACGCATCGAGGTGTACGACGGTTTCTCGGCGTCGCTGCCGATTCAGACGACGGACACATCGTGCCTCGGCGGCAAACACCTGCGAATAACAGGTAACGCGAATCGATATCCTCGTCTCTGTCCCTTGCACACGCCGAGCGCCGAAAAAATGGGTCGATTTCGAACGCGATCCGGAACGCGTAGCCCCGCGCAGCCTCGCGTTTCCTCTCGGAATCGGGTCGGAAGCTACTCGTTATCAGAAAACTTCGCTCATTAACTTCGGAAACATTTGCGTTCTCGCGCCGGCAACTGGAATTCGGCGGGCAGGGCCTCCGAAACTCGGAGCCAACATTTGCCCGGCATTTCCGCGGCGAAACTGTGCGAACCGGTGATTCATGGGAAACTGATAACAGACCGAAACGGGCGCGATTGCCGCGGCACGCGAGCATCTCGCGAGCGCGGACATGATAAGTGAAATGACCGAAAGGAGCCGGCGGCGGTTCAACGAGTCCGATCTGCCTGGTGCTTGATACGTTGGCTAGGTTGGACGCGTGGTTCTGTCGTTCCTCGCTCGTCAGTTTGGCTCCGTACCAGAGGTTAATACTACCATAAATCGCGAAGCCTGTTTCCGACGCCGGTTCAAGCGGTATTCTAGCGTCGAGTGCGCGTGTTCTTAAAACTTTGTTGCGGAATTTTTTGCGAAGGAACTGTTCTAGCTTTTGCAGTCAAGTTGACTAGGTCTGTTTAGGTCTGTTATTTCAACGACGTTTTTAACATTTTTTGGTACAAAGGAAAGTTACCATTGGTGGCACTGCATATTCTCAAACATAATACAGTAATGTCTCCGTAATTGATGCTCAGATTGGGTACAAAAATGGACAATTCGGGAAGAGAAGATACGATTATTCGAGCCTTGTAGATCATTTTTATAGTTGTTGACAATTCGTGACTATAAAAATGAACCGCAAGGATCGAATAATCGTATCTTCTCTCCCTAAATTGTCCATTTTTTGGACAATCTAAACGTCAATAAGGGAAACATTAAAGCGTCAATTAGAGAGACATTACTGTAGTCCCTTTTAAAAAAGATAGTCTCACGGTGTCCTTGATTCCGGCCACTCTGCTTGTCTGAAATAAAAAAAAGAAACACGTGAAAGTTCCTTAATTAGTATGAATTTGGTAATAACAGGTGCTAGAACAAAAAAAGTCGGAATTTGAAAAAGTGACGATGCTTTGAAATTCGATTACCGAGTTTTGCACGTTTTGTCAAGCTTCGAAGGCCTAAAAAATTGGAAAAAAAGTGAAATCTTTTGATTGATTCTTAAATTCTTAAAATTTTGAGTCAATTGCTCGAGTAGATTTTGAGACATCGTGGACACCATTCCAAAAAACAGTTTTCAAAAAAATGGCTATAAAGTTCAGAACATCGATCATAGTACAAGATCAAACATGTCTTTCAAACAACCATAACTACATCCTTTAACACCAGATTTATGGAGCACGAAAATGCAGCTGTTTTATATTAGTGTGTAAACACTAGATATTATTATATTATTATATTATTATATTATTATATTATTATATTATTATATTATGGTATTATTATATTATTATATATTATCAATACATTATTATTATATTATTATTATATTATTATATTAGTTTATAAACACTAGATTTACGAGAACCCGTCATATTGACGTCATATTGGCCCGTCATATTGACGGGTTCTCGTAAATCTAGTGTCAAGAACGTGCAAAAAGAGAAACGTGATTTTTCACAAGTTCACTAGAAGTTTGCTGGAACACGCCCACAAAGCGAGCATCGCAATCGCGAATTGTCTGCGGCATAAAGTGATCAAACCGTAGACAATCGTCGTTTTTAATCGGGCCATTAAGACAGATCAGATGATCTCGGCCGATTACAGCCGGCCGATACCGTTGAAATAATAATTCATACTTAACAGGAGCCGGAGCAAAAACAAGCCCGACCGAAGCAAAGTCGAAGGCTATAATTCCCTAGGGTAACGATATCATCTCTACACGATGACCTAACGGCGATTAGGCCTGCGTCTAAGCCCCAACCTAACCGGGCATAGTTCCCGTCGGGCCTGGACACACCTGGCCTGGTTCGAAGTCATTGTCGTCGCAAGCAAACGGCATCGATATGAATCTTGAACTTCGAAATTGCTTCGTCACTCCGACTGACCATAACGGGGCCATACTACTTAAAGTTCTCGAAGGGGGGGGGGGTGAACCGTTTCACCGGCGCGGTATACGTATCGACGTAATTCGAGCGTCGAGATCGTCGACGGGCTTTAGTTTCGCGTTCCGCGTTCCGCGTTTGTCTTTGCTCCTCCCCCCCTCCCCTCCCCCGAAACTGTTGACAATTTCGAGAGAGTTCACGATGGCAAACACCGATAGCGGACGGGCTGCCGTATCGTCTCGAATAATTGGAGCTGTTTCACAAGCTTTTCTCGCGAGACGGAGCGTTTGCACGCGGTTGTTTACCGTCATTATGAACCGAGGGACGCCCGGGGACGAGGATTTCCGCAGGAGATACGAACTTTCCCGTCGCGGTTTACCCAGCGAAAAATCATAGCTGCTCGAGCGGCGCGGCGCGGCGCGGCGCGCGAGAGAGAGCGTTCGTTTAAATTCTACTCGAGAAGATCTGGGTCATGCGAAGGTGATGCTTATGACATTACATGAAATACGTGACTTATCGTGTCGGGGAGACCTTCCGTGGCAAAAGCATAAATCACCGATACGTATCTTCGAACGCGAGCCCGCGTTATCACCGCGTCTGACTGCTATCGGGATATACTACTTAAATCTCACGGCACAATCGTGTCTCTTTCTTTTCGCCCCTCGGTCGCGGCTCTCCTTCCCGTAATTTAGATAAAACAGTTCCACGAATCGACCGGCAATCTGTAGGCCACGCTGCGGATCTCGTTTAATAATTAATCGTAGGCTTCAACGAAATATCGTAAACGGCTGACGAACGCTGATCGTTCGTAGATCGCGGATTTTTTTTGCGAAATAAAAATTGTATTTGTCAGTTGCGAGAAATTTGAACCGAACAGCAAGTTCTTAGTGATAAAAAAGGAAAGAAATAACTTTTTATTTGACTACGAATGAATTAATTTTTTACTAATTTTTTAATCGACGATCATTCATATTGTAAAGGTACATTTATGAGTTATTTATTCTATTTACATGTTACTTACGATAAATGTTACAATGACATTTGTTACAAATCAGAGTAAATGTCTTATTGTCACTTTCGTAAACTAATATGAAACAGCTGTTTTTTGGGCTCCGTGAATCTAGTGTTAATAACTTTGATAGATTGACAATAATACATCGACATTTTTAAATTCCCTCAATATATCTACTATTTTAAATTGTAACTATCCAATTTTCTCATAAATATATAAAATCCGGAGCCTAATTATTAGACGGCGGATCTTTGTGCAAAATAAAAATTGTATCTGTCGCTTCTAAAAAGACAGAAATCATATAGAAATGTCCTTCTTTCTTAAGTAATTTCAATGAGATCAATTTAATATCGTGACACTCTTGAATTCTTTACCAATTTTTGTCATAAAAGCATAAAATCCGCGCGTCTATTCGCAATTTCATACGAAATTAGAGAATGTAAGATATCGCGATTGGAATAGATAATGAGCAATGCGATTAACGATCGAGCATTAATACTATTTAGGGTGTCCCATAATTACGATAACAGCTGGAAAGGGGTGATCAAAATACTGCAAAAAATTCTACAAATCTCCGTTATTGTTCCACCTGCCTATGTGTCCACGTTTGTCTTCGAAATATTAAAAAGTTAGAAGCACGCGAAAATACGTATAACAATGCGAATTAAATGAAAAATAATGTATGCATTGCAAAGATTCTTTGAAGTTCATCTTTGCGTGAAAGATGCATCTGACAATGCAACATCGAAAAAGGCGATAGAAATACGGTAATGTCTCTCTAATTGACGCTCTAATGTCTCCCTTATTGACGCTCAGATTATCCACAAAAATGGACAATTTAGGGAGAAGAGAGACGATTATTCGAGCCCTGCAACTCGTTTTTATAGTTACCGATTGTCAAAAATTATCAAAACGAGGTGCAAAGTTCGAATAATCGTATCTCCTCTTCCCGAATTGTCCATTTTTGTGGACGATCTAAGCGTCAATAAGGGAGACATTACCGTATTTAGAACTTGGGACGTTCGATTGAAAAGCGAATATTACTGAAACGATTTATCGCGCGGGGCCGTTGTCCGTCGATTCTTTAGCAAATGGCCACTCTAATTGGACCGGCACGGCGTATGTCCGAGCTGACATGAATCTCGCGCGCATTCTCGCGATCGATTGTCAGCTAAACGGTGACACGAACGAGCCCAGTTACGGGACCTTTTTCGCTGCGGCTGCGTTTACGAGAGCGCGGTTCGAAAACGAGAAGGGTTTATCGAGCAACTGACGCGTTTACGAGGCCGGAGATTACAAGGCTCCCTCTGCGGATTGATATTCGCAGGGCCATCGCCTATTTTTAATCAGATCCGCGGTTTTTTGCTGGCAAACAAAGCGCCCGGGCTGAGCGGCGTGTCTGTAAATACCGAGTTTATGGAACAGGAAATACGATTACACGATTTCCCAGGGATTTAAATTCGATTAAGCCGGATCGCGCGAGCTTGCGAAACGGGGTTTATCGGGCCGCGTAAGTAGTATACGTCGATTATAATCAGCCGGAGCGAGCCGGAACGAAAATATACGTAGTTTACAGGGGAGATCGCCGCTTCTGGGGATCCGCGGGAGCTCGATGCGCGCTTAATTCGAGTCGAATTCGATTTTCCGAGACCATTCGATGTCCAATTTTCGCAATTTCGATCGAATAACTAAATTACTATGCGCGAGATTAAGATTTTTCCCGTTGATTGCCATGAAAGAAATCCATGCCATGGATGAAACTCTGCTTTTTCTTTCAATAGCGCTGATAATTGAATTGTTGATTAAGGATCTTAAAATCTTCACTGTTCTTCCGTTTTTTGTTTAATCGTTTTTGTCGATACCCGCAAGGGTTACTTTAAAGTGCTGTAACTTTGTAAAAAAAAATCGCAGCCGAGGTAGTTCGTTTTTAAATTAAAGGGGAACGATGAAATTTCATTCGAGTGCAAACGGCATCTCCGGAAATAATTCAACGAAGTCCGAGCATTTCGTCAAACTTGGCAACCTTCAATATCCACGAACATGGCCTCGCATTTAAAGGGTTACAGTGGTGAGGGTGCATCAAACTTCGAATCCAGAAAAATTGTCTGAAAGCAGAGGTTTCAAGCTTCAATTTAAAAGAAAAGTCACTATCTTGCAATGATTTTTCGCGAAATTATCGTCAGTCAAAGTTGGCCAATTTTTATCCAAAATTTTTCTATCGCTGTAATTTTGTTGTGCAGCATATGTTCGTAAATTTCGCGATGTTTTCGATATTTGGAGGCCAAGACGAAATAAAATGAACAAATAGATGAGCATATAAATAATTATTACGAAAAAACTGCATGCTCCTCTTCACAAATTGTCCATTTTCGGCGGCAATCTGAGCGCGAATTAGAATAAAGGAATTACTGTATTTTCTGAACATTTTCTAGATTCCTCTTTTCTCGCTTCGTGCTAATTAAAATAAAAAAACGAAGTCGTCGATGATAAGGCTCGGTGTTTCCAGGCTTCAATTACAAGCCGATATCGAACAATTTGGAGCGCGAGCAACTCATGCAAGTAGTTTCGTCGCGGAATTAGCGAAATCGACAAAAGGGCGCCGGACAATTTGGACGGCGTCGTTAATTGGAGCACCCAATTCGCCACACTGTGCCGGGATTATAGCGTAAACGGGAAAAAAGAAATTGGCGGGCCACGTGCACGCGAGGAAGCGTACGAATCGCCGTGGTTGTGCTGCGGCACACCTCGAAGGGCTGTAATTCCGAGAGTTCATTAATTCTCGGCGGTGCCCTTGGAGAAGAAAAAACGAGCACAAACTGAAAGGGAAAGAACGGCGGCTCGACTTTGTGTATACAACCGGCGCTTGAACGCCGCGAACACGGTCTTACCACATTCAAGAACGTTATTAAATGTCTGAAAGCCTGCCGGCTGCCTGTCAACGGGCAAAAGCGCACGCTTTATCTGATTAATTGGCAGCCTCGGCGCCCACGAATGCCTCTCGCGTCAGAGAAAACCCGCGTCGAAAATGTTTCCCCGAAAATTGTTATCAAAGCCGTCCCACGACTTCTCTCGAGAACGATGTACACTCGAAGTAGAAAGCGTCTGCGCGCACGTCCTTCGAAACGGAACAACTTTCTTCGAATTGTGCTCGGTCTTTAAAAAATTTTGATCGGATTTCGGGGAGATTTGTATTAATTAGAATTTTAGGCAAGCTATCCTTTAAAATAATAATAATAATAGATTAATAATAGATATATAATATATATAATAATATATTAATAATATATATTAATAATAATAATATATTAGTAATATAATAATAGATTAAAGAATAGATTAAATAAATAAAAATTAAATTTGAAAACAAATAATAATAGATTAAATAAAATAATTTTAGGCAAAATATTCTTTTAAAAAGTATGCAGGATACTTGGCGAATGTTAAAAATAATTTTAATCGAGGAATGTTCAACCCCAAAAATTTTAAATGTAATTATAGTAAATTTATATTAACTAGAATTTTGTTTGAGCCACGTACAGTCTTGATTACGATTCGATTTAGACCGAACCTGATGATTGAAATTACCGCATTTTTTATCGATACTGCAAGCAGAAGAATCGCCATTATGGTTATACTTTTTGTTCGTGAAACCGCTTGAGAGAAAAAACTGCGAAAAATTCCGTGAAGCATCGCGGGCATTAGGCGAAGGTGTCCACGCTGCTGGTTGGACTCGGATTCCACGCGATCCTAAAAATAAAAGATTTTGGACGGGCCGACCTCGGGCCAGAAGGAACTCTGACGCAAACCGTTTAATGCGCGGCGAACAAAAGCTCACGCAACAGTTTAATGGCGGCATTTTAGATGTGTATCAACGGTAATAGCCTCTCTTTACATCGCGTTAAAGCTTTCTCGGCCCGAAAAAAAACCCCGATCAGATAAGGGGAATCTGACGCGTAAGTGGAATACGTCGTTCAGACACGGCCACGCGAGACTGTCACGAACATTGATAGTCCTGGTATGTCTTCGCGACGTATGGAAATAAACTTCGCCGTCGCCGCGCTATGTAATTTCTGGAATTCCAAGGGCTGTTTATTAATCAGGGATATCAATCGTGACGTTCGCCATTTATTGCGGGCTTTCCCTCGTCGTCACTGAGAATACCGAGAACAGCAGTTATTTGAATCACTTTCCTCGGGCAAATTTAATGACTCAAGAATGTTCTGAGGGCGCGAAGTAGAAAGCAGCACGTGTGGATACTTTTTAATAGTGCCATTTTTTTGTTAACACAAAATACAGTAAATTCTTCCAAATTATTCTTCAGCTTGTGTAAAGAGAACGAGTACGATTAGTCGAGTCTGACGACTTGTTTTTATAGTTGCCGATTGTCGAAAGTTATAAAACCGAGCCAGAAGACTCAAATAATCGTATCTCCTCTTCTCAAATTGTCCATTTTTGTTTAAAAGCTGAGGGACAATTAGAGAGAATTTACTGCGATTCGTTCGATGTGAAATCCACTCCTATGCCTCGTCTGTGACTAAACCAAGGTTGCAGAATTATTCAGAAAAATCTACTGCGTCGATATAGTGCACCGAAACAAATGGCAACGTTGCAAAACGTAATTAATAGCTCTCTGAAGTTTGATTAACTATTATCTTAACTAATTATATTTTACGTTGTTCTCGTATGGTTTTTTTACACGGTATCGATACAGCAGATTCTCCTGAACATTTCTATGCTTTTGTTTTAGTTTTTCATGCTCTAATTTTGCCGTAATTAATGTTTTTATGCGACCCGGCATTCTGCGTATGTGGCGCCTCTATTGGAGAACAAACGAAGCTCCGTTCGATGTCCGTACAACGCCACTGGCGGCGAAACGCTCAAACTGTTGGCCAAAATCGATTGTCAGTAATTTGGCGAATAGTTTGAGCGTTTCGCCGCTGCACCAATTGGCGCTGTATGGACATCGAACGGAGCTTCGTTTGTTCTCCAACAGAGGCGCCACATGTGCAGAACGCCGGGTCGCATAAAAACATTAATTATGGCAAAATTAGGGGATGAAAAATTAAAACGATGGCGCAGAACTGTTCAAAAGAATCTGCTGTATCGATATAGTATACAGAAACACATGGCAACATTGCGAAATGTAATTAATTGCTGTAGAAATATGAACATGAATATGAATTTTTGCATGCTCAATAGAAAAGCTAAGGCCGTACCCAGTGCAATATAAATTACACGTATCACCACACCCCAATTACAACGCACGTATCACCACACCCCAATTACAACACACGTATCACCACACCCCAATTACAACAACACATGTCGCCACACCTCAATTACAACAACACAATCGCATAATAGTTGTAAATGAGATCTATGACATGACAAAACCATGCTATTAGCTAATAAGCGGGTGCACCCTTTCGTCGTCGCTGTTTCTTTATCGTTTGCTAAATCGTCTGTAACGTACTTAAACTTTGATTGACGTATGAAACAAAAATTAAAGGAACAACGACGCTAATTTATTTAATTGAAAATGGAAAACTTCCGCCGAATACCGAGTGTTCCAGAGTTTAAAATGACCGACCGAAAATAAAGCGAACTCACCCTTCGCGATCCGAGGCTGCTGAGCAAATCAATGCAATTATGGTGAATTCTCCTTAATTGTTCTTCAGCTTGTAAACAGGAGTGGACAATTTGGGGAGAGGAGATACAATTATTCGAGCCTTATGCCACGTTTTCATAGTTGTTGACAATCGGTAACTATAAAAACGAGCCGTGAAGCTTGAATAATCGTATCCTCTTCTCCCAAATTCTCCACTTTTCTTTGAGCTAAAAAAGCTGAAGAGCAATTAGGGTGAATTTACTGTATGTTGAAATACAGCAGCGATCCCATTGACCCCCCCCCCTATTTAAACAGGACGACTCGTTTAAAATAATAATCAAATCCAGCCCTTCGTGTTACTGTATTATAAATATTTTCGAAATCCTTGTAACGTATCACAGCCACGCCGTGTTATTAGGATAGCGGACGACCTCGAGCCGGCACAAAAAATGCACCGATAATAATTTTTCCTTTAGACGTACCGACACGCGCGGCTCGTTTACGATACATTGAAAGAAAAACCAGCCCCATTGTCCTCCTGTTACTATCGGGTCATTTCACGCGAAATCATACTGTTTTTATCAGGGTTCGAAATATTATAGTTCCGGAACATATTCATGAGCTACATTAGAATTTATTACATATATTACATATTTTATTATAAAAAAAAACTATTTCTTCTTTTCTCTGTTACAGTCAGAGACGCCGAGAAATCGAACTCGAAATCGGGTCAAAGGGCCAGCCAAAGTGTCACACTCAGGAAAACGTCGAGCGGGGTAAGATTACACTTTATTCTTTCTAAGTGGACCAGTTTTCGTTCTACAGACATTTTCTGCGGTTGGGTGACTTCGAATTTTTCGGGCTGTTCGATTCTGTTCGAAGAAGCGCTTATTCTCTTCAGTAACTCTTCACTTGCGATTAACTTTGATTCAACCGAATCAAACGAATCTCTTGTACAAATATAAAAAGCGGAACGCAATCAGGCTGCAGATTTTACGCGTTCACGACGAAATATACTGAAATGAAATTTAAAACAGTAAACAGATTTGTTGTTGGTCACATACATTGTTGCTCCTTGTAGCAACCCAAACAGACCATTTTATATTTGTCATCCGTCGAACCTTAGCATCGACAATAAATACATAGCAATAACTCACATATGCGTAGGACTAGCACAGGGAAATTCACAGCAACCCGAAATTTGGCATTCTAGGGACAACTTACTGTTAATCACATTTGCTACATTTGTTTCCGTATTTATTCCCTCTTACTCTAACATAAACAAACGTCAGATGGCACGAAGTATCAAACGGTTAAAAGTTAAAAGTTCCAACGTGATACAACGATGGTTTAATTAGTGCGAACTTACACGGTTCGTTTCCCGGTCGCTGTGAATCGGCGTATCGGATCAGAAACGCATCCTTCGCGATATTGGTGTTCGCGTTAACGGGCCATTGTCGCCGAGCACGCTGACATATACATCATCATATCCCCGGCTGATCTTCGATCGGCTGATTCTCCTGGGGGAGCAACGGGCTTCAATAATCGCGGACAATGCGTCGCGTAATCGGGTCGATCTTGGACCTTGACCCGGCCGCTCTGCTGGCGAGTCGAAGACAAATGACGGAACGATCCGTCAGGTGCAAACAATGCCACGGGGAAGGACGATCGACGCTGATCCCGTTCGAGTTGCACAGCTCTGCCGATTCGAATGAGTCGGCTAGAAACAGTGAACGCTGGTCTATCACCGATCCCCAGCCGAATTAATGCCCCATTGATCCATTATCCTTCGAACGATGAGGTTCTGTGTTGCGGTACGCGTGGAGCTTGAATGATGATCATCTGCTAGCCTGACGGAGCCTAATGGTCCCGTTCGTCGTCGGTCTCCGCTCCTTCTGTCCGCGGTTTTGCCACGTCTTCCGGTTCTAAGCTGTGTCCACACGGAACGCTTTCACAGAATGTCTGATCGCCATTTTATTGCACGGCGCATTCGAGAAGTCCGCGAACTAGATATTTTTGCGAACGCATCAGTGGTAGAATCTTCGCTTCGCAGATTAGCCTAGTTGGCGGGAATTTTCTGCTACCTCCTACAATTTTTACGTCGATTCGAGCAAAGCTGTGGCCTTCGACAGTCTCTTATCATCTTTCCGAGCAACGCGCTGCGCGCAACGATGATTCTAAATCCGGTAAAACTGATGAAGAACGCTTGATCTATCTAGGCTGAGTGATAAATAACTTCCGTTTTCTTATCACGTATTTATTTTATTTTTTCTTTAATTTATCTCTTTTGTTTTTTTTATTTTATTTATTTTGAAACTTTGCCTATTTTTAGCGAAAGTTAAAACTCTTTCGTCCCGGTGACTCATAGTGGCTCGATGCGATTAGATATTAGGTTGGTGCGTGTGAAATGTCGGATTTTTAAGTGAATATACAGGGTGTCCCAAAAATGTCTCGCAATCCGAAAGTGGCGGATTCCTCGGGTCATTTGAAGCAGCTTTTTCCTTTACAAAAATTTTCTCCGAGGCACCGTTAACGAGTTATTAACGAAAAACAGTGACCAATGAGAGGCGAGCTCGGCTGGCGTGAGGCGATCGAGCCAATGAGCGGAACTGGGCTTCGTGCGCTGGTTGACTGGGCCGCCTCGCGTCAGCCGTACTCGATTCTTATTGGTCACTGTTTTTCGTTAATAACTCGTTAACGGCGTCTCGGAGAAAATTTTTGTAAAGGAAGAAGCTGCTTCAAATGATCCGAGGAACCCGCCATTTCCGGATTACGAGACATTTTTGGGATACCCTGTATCTTTTTTCAAAAGCTGTTTATTCAATCAAAATATGCTCCATTTGCTTCGATACACTTTTCCCAACGAGATTTTAATGCACAAATGACTGTCTTAAAGAAATTCTGATCTTTCGAATCAATAAACACTGATACAAAATTTTTCAGACTGTCTTAATTTTCGAATCAAATAACAAAATGGAACACTTTTGAGAAAATCTTCTCCCTTGAAATGTGACTCTGGCAACGGACGGTACGACTATAAACGAGGTTATGCCAAGAACAAAAGCATGACGAAAACAGGGAGACAAACGTTCCTATGCAAAGAAAATCCGACATTTCATATGCACCAACCTAATAAATTCGACCTAACTGCATCGGGAGTTATTCAGAACTCGACCCAACGCGTTCGAATGATACCAAGAATAAGAATCAATCTAGGCTGGACCTGGAGGAATCTCCATGGAGGGTAGCCGCGCGCGGGGAGTCATTAATAAGGGAAGCGATCTAATTGCTTCGGTGTCTGGTCCCTAACTGGCAGCTTGCTATTCCTTGCCACGTTCTCGTTCAATCCTCATGAGTTCAGGGAATTAACTTCGCCGGCAATCAGCGAAGTTTATGAAACTTACGTGTGTAAACGCGGGTGTGTGTGTATGAGTGTCTGTGTTGCCCGCAGAGCTATCGGGGTCGCAGCGGCCTCGGTTTCTTCAGCGTCTCGACGGAAGACTCGAGCGTCGACTCCGAGGTCAGCAGCAGCAACACGATCACGTCTGGTCGGAGTTCCGCTGGGGCTGCGGGATTCAAGACCAGCAAGCAACGCTGGAGCGGTTTCTTCATGAACACCAAGGGCAACAAGCTCGACCTGCTCACGGCTCAGCTGGACGAGTACAATAAGCACGGGGTGCCGAAACTGACGGACGTTCAACTGCCCTGCGAACTCACCCTCAACGAAGATGGTGCGTATGCTGCGTCGCTTTTGGCAACGTTTCTCTTTTTTTTTTATTCGAACTAATGGATCGTTTGCGAAAATGGGAAGTCTTGTTCGCAGTAAATTCGTAGCAATTTTTCTGCTGTTAAATTGNAACCCGCCATTTCCGGATTACGAGACATTTTTGGGATACCCTGTATCTTTTTTCAAAAGCTGTTTATTCAATCAAAATATGCTCCATTTGCTTCGATACACTTTTCCCAACGAGATTTTAATGCACAAATGACTGTCTTAAAGAAATTCTGATCTTTCGAATCAATAAACACTGATACAAAATTTTTCAGACTGTCTTAATTTTCGAATCAAATAACAAAATGGAACACTTTTGAGAAAATCTTCTCCCTTGAAATGTGACTCTGGCAACGGACGGTACGACTATAAACGAGGTTATGCCAAGAACAAAAGCATGACGAAAACAGGGAGACAAACGTTCCTATGCAAAGAAAATCCGACATTTCATATGCACCAACCTAATAAATTCGACCTAACTGCATCGGGAGTTATTCAGAACTCGACCCAACGCGTTCGAATGATACCAAGAATAAGAATCAATCTAGGCTGGACCTGGAGGAATCTCCATGGAGGGTAGCCGCGCGCGGGGAGTCATTAATAAGGGAAGCGATCTAATTGCTTCGGTGTCTGGTCCCTAACTGGCAGCTTGCTATTCCTTGCCACGTTCTCGTTCAATCCTCATGAGTTCAGGGAATTAACTTCGCCGGCAATCAGCGAAGTTTATGAAACTTACGTGTGTAAACGCGGGTGTGTGTGTATGAGTGTCTGTGTTGCCCGCAGAGCTATCGGGGTCGCAGCGGCCTCGGTTTCTTCAGCGTCTCGACGGAAGACTCGAGCGTCGACTCCGAGGTCAGCAGCAGCAACACGATCACGTCTGGTCGGAGTTCCGCTGGGGCTGCGGGATTCAAGACCAGCAAGCAACGCTGGAGCGGTTTCTTCATGAACACCAAGGGCAACAAGCTCGACCTGCTCACGGCTCAGCTGGACGAGTACAATAAGCACGGGGTGCCGAAACTGACGGACGTTCAACTGCCCTGCGAACTCACCCTCAACGAAGATGGTGCGTATGCTGCGTCGCTTTTGGCAACGTTTCTCTTTTTTTTTTATTCGAACTAATGGATCGTTTGCGAAAATGGGAAGTCTTGTTCGCAGTAAATTCGTAGCAATTTTTCTGCTGTTAAATTGTTGACCTCTTGACGTACTTTGACGAGTCCGACGCGGTATGAAAAACATTTTTAGTAATAACTTGTTGAGTATAGATGTTATTTTTAACCCATTAATGCTCTTTTTTAAACCTTTTAATCCTTTTAGTGCCGAGCGAAATAAATATCGTACTTATGCGAAAAATACCGGTCCAATTTGTCAAATTTGCTAAGCTTTGGGGAAAAGCTCATAAAAAGCAAAGTAAGAATGATATTTAGAAAATTCAAAAAGAAGCATGTTATGAAATCAATTATATCCAAATATTGTGAAAATATTGTCAATTGTATTTAAATATTTGTTGAAAATTATACGAACAACGTAAATATAAAACAGTATGAAAAAGAGAAAAATCAATCCTCTTTTTAAAAACAGTGTATTTACAGATAAGAAAAATCATCGTTTGATTATAACTTTATGTAGACCACCAGCATGAAGTATAGATATTGCACTTTCAATCATTCGTAATAAAATAACTGATATCGGATCGTAAAACTAAAATCGTCGTTCGGCACTGAAAGGGTTAAAATTGAAATAAAATTCTAATCTGTTGTAATCAATAATTAAGCATTCAAGTAAATATAGACACACGATAAGCATCAATTCTCTTTCCGTTCTAAGAAATAATTGCAATCGAAAAACTTCCAATCGCAGCAACTGCGAAGAAAATGGTATGTCAAGGGGTTAAATGATGCGCAAATAAAAAACGTACAAAGATGCCGTTCAGAAATAACGTTTATCTAGTCGACGAGTAGCTCGTAAACTTGGAAAACATAAAGAAAAAAAGAGCGTTTCACGGTGAAATTTTTGACTTGCGACAATTTTCGCGGGTGTCGAAACAGCTGACCGAATACACGAATAATTGAGCTTCTCTCCGAAAGAAATTTATTCCTCGTGGAACATCGTTTCTGTACAACAAACTTACGCTAAAGTTCAATAAATTATCTTACAATATGAAACTCGTAAAAATATACATCTCGTCGTTGGATCACCGATGCGAGACAGCGTCCTTAAGTCCGTGGAGCTTCTCCCATCGTCGTATTTCAATTGCGCCGCCACTTTCGTAGAAAAAAAAGAAAAAGGAAGTATCCTAGAGCACCAAGTTGTTTTCTAACGTAAAACTGTCCAGTCCCGTGCCTCTCGGCACGCGGCTACCTGCAACACGAGCAAAAGAAAAACGTTAAAATCACGGTTCCAGCCTTGTATAGCTTAGAGGAAGACTGGCGCGACCTAGTTCACAACGCGGACCAACTGTCGGAGAAGCAGCAACAACAGCAGACCGCTTTGTGGGAGTTAGCGCAAACGGAGGTGGCGTACATCAAGACCTTGAAGGTCGTGACCGACGTGAGTGCTCGATCAATGACCGCGTTCAGAACGCGCCCTTTCCCTTTACTTTCGGGGATCCAGCTGATCCTGCTGGTTCTGCTCGCTGGTTGCAGCTGTTCATGGCGTGCCTCTGCAGCCTGCAGACCTCGAATATCCTGACCGAGGTCGACAGGACCAAGCTGTTCAGCAACATCCCCGAGATCTACGCCGCGAACCGGTACTTCTGCACCGAGTACGTCATGATGATGGTGAACGCGTCGAGGTCGACGGGCCAGCCGCTCGACCCTGGACACCTTCTGCAAGGTTTCGAGACCTTCGAGCGGATCTTCGCGCCCTACACCAGGTACTGCGCGGAGCAGAGCAGGTGCCAACAGTACTGCAGGGACCGGCTCAACGATAATCAGCTGTTCACCGTCTACCTGGTGGTAAGTGGATCGGAATCGCGCGCTTGGCCGACCGAGTCTGGAAGTCCAGAAATTCGAAGTCCGCGGCGATGTCTCGCCTTCGAGCTACCGAAAGGATCGATCCGATCTTCGAATTTCCGATCGAAGCGTTCCCGGGGGAATTTTTTTCGGTGAACCGATTCGTTCGTTAGCGAAGAGTAAAACGAGAGAGACTACGCGTTCGACGCGATCTAGTTTTTGAAGTTCCGCGGTGAAACAGCGCGATCGAGGGGTAAGTTTGTGGGTTTCCCCGGCTTCCGGCGTCTGCGCGCTCCGCTCCCGGGCTCGGTTCGCCAAAATATAGATCCAGAATTTCCGTTAACCTATATCCGTTCGACACCAGTGGTGCGAGACGCAGAAGGACTGCAACAGGCTGAAGCTGCTCGACATTCTGGTGAAACCTATGCAGAGGCTGACCAAGTACTCGCTGCTTCTCAAGGCCGTTCACAAGAACACGGAGAACGAGGATCAGAGGGCGGAATTGATACACATGGTGAGCTTGGTTTAGGGATTTCTTTCGGAGCTCCGTCGACGATGCCACGCCTGCCTGAAAACGAATTCAATTTCGATGGTGCAACCTGCGAAATCTTGAACGGAATTATGAACGAGCTTATTTCATTGTCGCGTGTTACGTAATCTCGTAGTTCTCGAGGATCGTGGGAAATGACGAAGCATCATCGTTAGGAAGGACTGTATGTTGGCAACAGGCTTATGTTCGAGGGAAATCATGTCACCCGATGCTCCTCCACTTTTGGTTAATTTATAATAGAAAAGCACTTCTATCAAAGACTTCGCCAGACAGAATCGCTATACAGAAATTTGCTATACTTTTCTGTACAAAACTATTGTACGAGCAGGAAATGAAATTCCTGAGGTCATTCGAAGCAACTTTGTCCTTAGCGAAATTGCAATCCGCGGCTTCGTTCACGAGTTATTAGCGAAAAACGCTGGCCAATGAGAGGCGAGCTCGCTTAGCGCCAGGCGGCCGAGCGGAACTGGGCTTCGACAGCTCGTTGGCTCGGTCGCTTAGCGCCAGCTGATCTCGCCTCTCATTGGTCACTGTTTTTCGCAAATAACTCGTAAACGAAGCCGCGGTTTGCAATTTCGCTGAGGAAAAAGTTGCTTCAAATGACCTCGGGCACCTCCTCAGGGACACCCTGTGTACTTAGAGCTCGTCCGTGTTGCTCTAATCAACTGGATCGAAGCCAACCGACAGAACTCTTTCAGATCAAGTCCGTGGACGACTTCGTGGCGTCGGTGAACGCCGCCCTGAAGAGGAGCGAGGAGTCGGCCCGTTTGGCCAGCGCCGCGTCTCGCATAGAGTGCTACGACGTGGTCGAGTCCCGTGACGAAGAACTAGATAAACTGATCAAAAACCACAGCACGTTCGACATCACAGCGGTGCCGATACCCGGCTGTCCTAAAGACACCTTGAGGGTGCTTCTCCGCGAGGGTGATCTGAAGCTAAGAGACGCTGCGAGCAGCAAGGTGACGATCCTCAGAGTCCCCAACCTTCTAGCCTCTAACAATCGAATGGATCCTCTGAATCCTCCTTATAATTGAACAGATGGAGGTGCGCGTGCTGCTGCTAACGGACATGCTGCTGGTCTGCAAACCGTCCACCAAGAAGATCTCGTCCAGCGGCTCGGCCGGGACGGTTGGTGTCGGTTTGAAGATCATAAGGCAGCCGTACGTGATCGATCGTATCCGGATCAACGAGCTGAAGGAGCCATCCAGTCTAGGTTTGATCTACCTGAACGAGTACGGAGCCGCTTCGGCAGCTCTGGTGCTCAGCGCCGGGGAGTCAAAGTTAGCCAAGGTATCCGATCCTCTAACCAGCCCCGCTGAAACAGTCCCGAACGAACGGTCCGTAACCTTGTTTTCCTTCAGTCTTGGATGGACTCGATCAGAAAGGCTCAGCAGCAATTCGCGCTGATGAAGGTGCCGCCGCTTGGGAACACGCTGAACCTGACCTTGGCAACGGTCAGCCGTCAGCCTAGCACGTTCCTGGGCGACGTGGACTACGAGGGAGAAGAATGCGAGCCGACCCTGAAAACGCCCCGAGGCAGCAGCAGGGCGTCACGGGTCAGCAGCCTTGCTCACAGTCACAGGTTCGGCGCGGTGAACAATGTTTTAGCTTTTAGGACACCCTGGGACTTTGCTTAACCCCGTGGAATGAATTCCAGCGGGAGCATAGAGATGGAGGGTGTCTCCCCAGGAAGCAGTAGCTTCGTGCCGAGCTACAATCCCAGCAGGAACGTCAGCGTGGAGACCAGCGAGGTGCCCCGCGCCTCGAGCGTGTCCTCGGAAGAGGGCGGCGAAAGTTCCGGGCACAATCACAGGCCGTTGCAGATCAGGTAAATAGGTAGAGGCCGAAGAACGGAGGAGGAGCGTGCTTGGACCGCGGATATCTGACCGGCATTTCAAACGTTATTTTAGTCCTAACAAATTTGATAACAGACGGTATCTGCTGAACAAGTCGCCGACCCCGAACACGCTCAGCGTCCAGGTGCCGCCTTACTCCTGCCTGGGCCAGTCGTTGCCGAACCTGACGTTGGCCACGTCGCCGCAAACCTCGACAGTGTCGCCGACACCGCCGAACTCGCTGCTAATCGTTCCCCAAATTACAAAGAGCAAGGACACTTTGCTCTCGCCGGGGCACCGAGGTAGCAATTACCCACGCGGGAATTTATCTTCTTCCACTGTTACACTATCTAGAAGTTTCATCTGACAATAAACACCGTCTAGGCGAAAATAGCACTGTGCATGAATAGATCGCTGACAGATCGAGCTCGGCCTGGGAACCGGGCGAAACGCGGCGCCCGATCCCGGAAACGCCGCGCTCGATCTATCGATGAACCGTGTGTATATGTCTTTCCCTTTCCTGTTATGAACCTAACGAGACACCTAGGATAAATCGATGGTAGACGATGCACGACTTCATGTTGAACGGAAACTTGTTGACGGGGATATGTGTGCTCACGGTGAAATCTACCATCAGGTATCTCGTATCCGCCGCCGTCGCCCCCGAGGGGGGCACTCAGAAGAGCGTTCGCGATCTCGCAATCGCGGAACCCGCCGCTCGTTAAAACCAGACACATTAACACGTCTGTGACGCAGACGATTCAGCCTACCATGAGCCTGGACACCGAGGCCATCGAGGAGAGGCGCAGAAGGCTGGAGCCTTCGCACCGGATGCCGTCGACCAGCAGCATCGCGGAGGAAAAGGTTAAACCGTTTCGCCCGGCACTCTGAAGTCTGGGACGATCGCCTGATGTCGGTCAGGCGACAATGCCAGATCTAGTAACGATGATCCGGACTTCAAAGTTGCCGGTGAAATTGCCGATGAGATCATAATCGACGACGATACCGTGATTCTTCTTCACGTGCATGAAAATGTGTCTAGATGTATCTGTCGAATGTTCACGGGAGACGTGGTTTCTCTATCGGCGGGTGACGGTCTCTTTTTTAGAAATGACAAGAGCTGGCGTACAAGAGTAACCTACCGAAAAGGTAAATTGCTACGGACCATCAGCGTTTGATAAGGGTGTACGTGATACGTCGTGTTTCGAAACGGGATGTTGCATTCTGTTGCCTGTATGCAAGTGCTGCACACACTTCCATGCAGGATCAGAACACGGAGGCGATTGAGGAATTGAGGAAACGAACGTCTCGTACTCCCTGTGCCTACGATACGAATCGAGCAATTTTACAATCGGTGAGTGGAAAAGGGGGGGGAGGCCGATCCCCGACGCGACAACGACCGTGATGGGGCCCATCCTCAAACTGGCGGCGATTCTGTTTCAGATTGGGGCCATTCGAAATCAACGTGAAGTTTGTACCACGACCGTATCATAGTAACTTATTTGATTAGCCGTGTAACTCCTAGATCTCGTTTTATAAATTAACGGGAACGCGGCGGCGGCTGCGGACCGGCCCGCGTCTCGATATTATTCTAGTTCATTTAGTGTTCTAAGCGACGATGCGAACAAGAAGAAAGGCCTACCTAGCGTAATTTTACCGTATGTATCGTGATCTAAGGTTTAGATGATCGTAAATAGTTGGAGTTTAAGTCGCCTCTAGCGAACAATTTTAATCTTAAAAAGAAAAAATGAAAAAACAATGAAAAACTACACATCGACACCGCGCGTGCGCGCGCCCTCTCATACACACATACACACACACACATACACAGACTATACACAGAGTTCGTGATTTCAAAGGATAAACGAAAAATAAAGCATCGCTCGATCGTTAGAAGAGGGGACACACCAAAAATGTAGGGAAATTCACACACTTTCTCGTAGAGGAACAAAGTAAAACGAAAGAAATAAACACACACAGTTTGCGCGCTAAATTCCTCGTACTAAGCTTCGATTAAAACGTACGATCGCGAAGTGCAGGAGGAGAGCACGAGAAGCATTCCGGTGACGACGCGGTTTACGTTCAAGTACAAATTCGATTTCGCAATATTTTCGTTGAAGAGACTGAACCGAAGGAAATTGGGCCGTCGACGAGCACCACCCAACTAGAGACAACAATGCGTAGTCGTGAAACACAAGAGCAATGATTTTATACGAGCTCCCCCATGTAAAGTTTCTTTCGAACCCCGCCCCGCCCCGCCCCCCAGTCCTCACCCCCCTCCCCTTGAATTTGCGCAGCTTGCATTAAGCTTCAAAGTGTTATCTATCGTAAAAAAAAAGAAATATCGATTGTGCGTCAAGTTCAAAATATAGTACATAATTTATTAATCGTCTGGTCTATTTCTATGCGATCCTTTCTACTCCTACGTATTCTTCGTCGTTAGGATAGTTTGTATTCAGGATTTCTACGGTGTCAGATATTTCGACGATGTTCAAATACATTCTTCTTTATTAACACTAACAATTTATTTACTGCAAGCCTGTCGATCGTGTGTGTGTCATCAAGATTTAAATGATCGTTTCCTTCACAAATTCAAAGTCTATCCTTGAAGGCGTTAATAAACAGGCTTTTCAATGACTGTACTACTTCTCAAAAATTGCTAACAATGTGTTCTCCAAACAACAATCGCAGAAAGAAGCGATTGGACTATGCTAGGCTGTTCAAAAGTCTATTAAAAAGCTCTCAGCTATTAATTGCTAATTTTTAGAAAATTATTAAATGCCGGTGTGGTTCCTTGTAAAAATTACAAAAATATTTATCTAAATATATCGATTCTCTACAAAAACACCTACGATTTTCAAAATTATAGGGCACAAGTTTCGTAGGAAATCATTCCGACCACTCTCGAAGGATAAGATATTGACTCCTAGCATCGATCTATTCGTAACAGTATCATCTGAGCGCGTTGCAGCTTGCGAATAATTATGAAAATGTTCTAAAACAATTGATTTTTCATGCCAGCGCATTTTTAAAGGTCGCGATTATACCGAGTATTTTTTATTAGTGCCTGGCAGTTGGCGCCAAATGGTGTTCAGTTCAAACGAGACACTGTGGGTCAGATAAGTATGGGTCGAGTCACCAGGCGAAAAGCGACGAATTAAAACATTTTCATAATTATTATAATTTATTATTTCGAGAGTATTTGATATTAGAAGCACAGTGTCGCTAACGATTTGCCTAACAGTTTATCGATCTATTTGACTCGATCAGTAGCGTGCGGCGTAGCGAGCCGTCCATGTTGGTGTAACCGTTACTTTGAAATTCATTCTCGCGCACGATGCTTTAGTCTCCTCAACCACTTATCTACCATATGCCCCAAGAGGTAAGGAAACTTGAAAGTTGAAGAAATCCCGCATCGAATACTCACTTGGTAATTGGAAGACAACGACAAGTCCAGGTAGAACGGGACGCGTTGCGAGGCAGCGAAGGGTCAGCACTCATTCACCATGTCCAGACAGGTACGAATCTCACACCTTTCATCGGCTAATGCCTCGATGATATCCAACAGAAGTTCTTTGCTTAATTGTCTTAATTCCGGAAGCCTCGCTACCTGTAATATAGGGTTATGATCGTGATATATCATGTCCTTTGATATACGCAATGATTGGATCAAGTAGTATGTGCGAGGGACAAGATGTCGCTTACCTCCGTGAAATGGTGGACTATTAGGTCCAGCACATATTTTTTCACATCAATGGCTTGCATTCTGTCGGCAGCCTCCAGAATCTGTATCACATTCTCAAAGCTGATATTCATTTCGAGATTCTGTTTGCAAAAGGCCTGCAGTCGGTTATTCGTGAAACCATAGAAAATCTGTGCGGTAAATAGGTAGACAGAATCTTCGGGTGGCATAGAGACATCTGCGTAATAGATGTACCTCAAGAGAGAGTTAAATGATTCGGAGGAGGGGATCATTTTGCCTATTTGCATCTGCCAGAGAAATGTGCATAATATTGAAGCACTTGTAGCTACGCGTTAGAACATACACATGAGCAACGATTCATTTACTTACGTTCACCATCTTGTTCTCTGGCATGAAAGAGCGAAACAGGCCCTCGAAGTAGTTGCACCTTGCAGCGAGGATTGCTTTGTGGGCAGGAATGGATGTACCGTTCAACATTAATGTTACGTCACAAAATTCAGAGCCAACACTCTTCAGAAATGCCTCCATATCCTGTTCCAAGGTCGTGCCTATGATCACAAAATAAAAAATCGATCGGGCAATTCCTTTTTATAAAGAAAACAACAAAGAACCTTACCGGTACCAAGATCATACTGTTCGCAAAAATTCCTTGTCTGCGGCATCTGCCTTCTCCTGATGATCTCCACCATCAGTGGCTGATCCATTGTCTCAAACTCTCGGCTCATTATAATTTGGTTGTAGTTGCTTTCTTTAACTACAAAACTTAAGCAAAACTCCTTGATGAAGTACAACTTCAAGTGGGCAGCATTGTGCAATGCTTCCAGAACATTTGCATGACTTATGGTTGCCTTGAGATAGTAAACACACAATTGCTCAAGGCGTTCCATTTTAAACTGGACGGCCAAACGATAGACGTCCATCATAAGGAGCACAATTCGGTTGCTCAGAGGATCCTCGTCGCCATTGTTGGACCCATCTTCGCCCCTGGTCGGGTCGATGCGATCCGTGTAGATGTAATTGAGGACCATTTCAAAGGCCTCCGGCACTGCATCCCCCAGCCTCACCTGCTATGAAACTGCATGAGGCAGGGCGACTAGTAATTAATACCAGTTAGTTTAGATTGCTCACCTCTAACATATCGGTGTCCTTGATCTCCTTCTCCAGTTTCTCCCGTTTTTCTCGCGCTTGTCTGATGCGGGTCCTAAGAAACTGGGACCTCGCCGCTACCATGGCTATGTGAGCCGGTATTTTTGTCTCCGTATCCCCAACAATGAACTCAACGTCGCAAAATAGACGACCCCTTAGCAATCTTCCGAAATCATCGTGTAGAGTGCACTTTGGGTAGGAAGAAAATTGGAACCTGTAGGTCTCGCCGGACCGGACATTGTTATCAACTGTCCCTCCGAATATGAACATAGCCTCCCCTATCACTGCAGCCGCATGGAACAATCGACCGGATGGAATTTGACTATCAGAGGATGGAAGGATAATGTTCCAAGTTTGGGTATCGAGATCGTAGCAATGGAGATCATTTGGCAACGTAGAATCAGCTGCCCCGCCAAAGACATAGAGATGCCGGTCAAAGCTGACCATGGTATGACCATACCTTCGAGCTGGCGGGGGTGGAGCACCCCGCAGGATATGCTCCGTTGAAATCCGAGTCCACCTGATGAAGTATACTTCGTCAAATGCGTTCCAAGGATAAAGAATGAAGCGGTCTTACCGCCTTTCTCGAAAATGGAACTGGAAGAGACTGTTGGTGATCTTGGCTCCACTCTGGCCACTGAAAACAAACATTGACTCGCGAGCTACCGCAACCGGGAAGTTGCAACAAGTGGGAGGACAATCCCCTGATTGAACAACTTCCTCCCATACTCTTGGTTCACCAGGCTAAAAGTAGTTCAGATTAGTACCCGATGCTTTGGCCTGGAAACCACTCGGTGACTTACCAATAATGATATGGTCCACATATCGTTTAATCTTGCATTGCCATCATAGCCAGCAAATATCCACAATTTATTGTCATGTATAGCTGCTCCATGAGCAGATCTAGCTACTGGTGTCCTGCAAGAAATTTTAAGATTTATGTCTAGGTTAAATTTCACGAGTTATAGAACTATGAAGTGCCTTGAGACACGGAAGTATAGATAAACTGGTATAAATAGAACATACTTTCCAATAAATTTCCATTCTATCCACTGGCAAGTTTGAAATCTATATTCGAACAAGTCATTCTTGTTGGTGAGATTCGAATTGGAATGTATGTCCCCGGTGTAGCCACCAAATACAAACATAGAAGAATCATGTACTACTGCTGAGTGATGGTAGCGTGGTGCTGGACGGGCTCCGGCAGCCAATGCGCGACCCCAGGACTTTTCTTTCACATCAAATCGCAACAAATCATTTAACATCTTCTCGCCGTTATCACCTCCGAAGACATAGATTGCATCTTTGTATGCTACAACAGTGTGTTTGCTACGCCTGTGTATAATACAGTGAATGATAAAACATGTAGCGAATGAGGGAGAGCAACAGATGCAAGGAAGAAAAGGGTGAAATGAGACAGAAACAGAACAGTTATGCATAGCTGTGTTATAAACAATTTGATCTTTTATTTGCATTCTTCGGTTAACAGATACAAAGAAGCTGTATAAACAAAATTGCTTTATGCGCAAATGGTGCTAGAAAAAATTCAGAAAAATTAAGAAAGAACTGAAACTTAACGAACTACGTTACCTGGCACCAACAAATTCGTCGCATTCTAACATTCGTTGCCATCGATGAACGGTTTCGAAGCGTCCGAATTCAAGGGTCAAGCACTCTACAGACGCAACGTTGTTCATATTCATTTAATCCAGAAGTGTATTCCAGTTAATTTGAGAAGATCATAATTAACCTATAAGAACCGGACCTAACTGCTCTTCGTAATATAGAAACGGGTAATGCATTTTGCAGTAACGGATCTGAAAATACAGAAAACGATTAATTTTTAGTAATATCACGGAGGAAAATACTTTTGCAACACTCGAAGATCACATAAATTATCCACTGACCGCAAAAATGTCAAAAACATGTGCGTTTGTAACGATTCCATTTGTACAGAATGAACCAAATTAGGTGGTCCCACACAAATTTATCGGAAATTATGGATCATGATTGCAGTGATATTAGTGATTTAAAGTGATGGGAACATCAAGCGAAGGTAAATGAGTAATAAATTATATTTTAGTTATAAGCTAGTTATAAGCTAGTAAATTACAATTCTAAGAGTTAAATCAGTGGACTTAAACGAAATCATGACGAATGAAGATAGCACACAGTGGCGCTTAAATGCTACTGAACATTTAAATTACTTACATACATATTCTGTATGTAAACAAAAAGTGCATTTCACGGATGCACTTTTTATTAAAAATCAAAAATTAAGCCACGACAGCCACGGTTAATTTAGTACACATGAAAATTACAACTACGGCATCGATGTTGCTCGATATTGGGCAACCTTTCGAAATACATATCCCCTGCAATCAGGGTTGCACAATAACAGCGAGTTTTCAATGTGTACAAGGTAGGAAACTCGTAGGCGAATATTTTCTCGATTGAAACGACCTGTAGATTAGCAAAATTCGCAGGATACACGGGAGAGTCGGTTCCACTCCCAACCTTTGTGCATATTTTATCAGTAGTACCACGTTGATAAAGGATTGTGAAGTTGTCGCTTTGATAGTGGGATTCATTATTGTAATTTGTTGCAATTCACGTGATTATATTTTCCTGAATATATCTCACGAGGCTCCCGCAGTATTCATCAGAAATATATATGTACATACATGTCTTAAACGATGCTGAGATGCACGGTAATGTGTTTACGCGTACTATAACGTGCTAACACAAGAGAATACAATCTGAGAAAGTGGTCCACATTCGGTGTTTTTCTCTAAGCAGAGATATTTATATGAGTAACAATGGTACGAAATGTATTTCGAAACAGCCAGAAGCTACTTTGGATTGGCAGCGCCTGTATCGGTACATACATCGCGTACCGATACTGGAAAAAGCGAGAGCTTCTGACAATAGACGAAGGTTTCGAAGAGGTGTCCAAGGTTAGAGAGCTTCACTCATGAGCGAGAAAGGTTTTTAGTAGAGAACGGCTTTCTTTCGCGAACTAATTCTCCGCGATTATTTGATTTTCTTAATTGTTTTTGAGTTGCTAGCGAAGGAATCGATGTCGTTAGGTCGAGTGAAAACACGGACTAGTTATTGTCACACTTTGTCTTTATAGATTGATGACACTCACGAAAAAAGGGTGGTCGTATTGGGCTTAGATGGAGCTGGAAAAACTTCTATTATAGATCAAATTAGTGTTGCAAATGGTGATGAAAGTTGTTACACTGTTCCTCCAAAACCCACACAGGGTTCCTCTGTATATAGAATAAAACATGGATCATTTTGTTATAATGTTTGGGACAGTATGTATCCTTCTTTTAATTTTGTCGGCATACAGAAGTTTAATGTAAGGTAGTTATAAAAGACCGGTTTCATTTTGTTATCAGTTGGAGGTGCAGAAGCCACAAGAAAGTATTGGGCCGCTTTCCTACAAGACACAGATCTTTTGTTGTTTGTAGTAGATGCATCTGATACAGAGAAATTATCATTGGCTGCTTTTACCCTAAAACAATTGTTAGATGATGTGAGAATGGACAGTGTACCAATATTAGTAATCGCTAACAAACAGGTAACTTTCAAGCGAACGAACAAAAGCAATTCTGTAATGATTTGATTGTGATAGCTAATATGTTTGTATGTGCAAATCAGGATTGTTCTAACGCCCTGAGGCCAGAGGAGGTCAAAAAGGCCTTAGATTTGTTAAGTATTTCTCCTCAGAAGCACAAAGTAGAAATAATGGGATGTCAAACAAGACCTCTACCTGAGAAGTCAACAGAGACAACAGAATATAACTGGCACCATGAATCCATGGATGCAGTTAGGAAAAAAATATTCTCTATGGCAACTTAAACTTAAGGGAATTTCTTAACTGTTTATTTGATGTGTTGAAAGAAAAGTACTTTATACGTTAAAAAAAAAAAGAACAAATAGTTTAAGGAAATAAAGTAGAGACAGTTTGCCCGAACAGGTACAATTGCACTCAACTTACACGCGGATTAAAAACGGTCACGAATGATTCGTACGGAATGAAATTAATGAAAAAAAATCTTGAAATTACGTAAAAAAAAATACATAGAAATAAAAATACAGGTTTTAAGTATTGCTCATTAAAGCGTCTATTCATAATCATGAATCCTTATTGTACTTTTTATATTGGTCTTTTCACTGATATATATTTATTTAATAAATTATTTATTTATTTTACAAGGCTGCAGTAAACATTGTCATATTTTTTTATTTTAATTATATACAATGCAAATTATACACTGACTTTGTTACTGATATACAAAGTACTAAATGTTTAGGGGCGATACAAAATGAAAATATAGATCTATTTTAATGATAATCAATGTATAGTATTGTATAAGTGATATAAAAAATATCTACCTTCACTTTCGAATAATCTTTTAATCTATGTTTTTGTTTATGTCCGTATTTCTTGCACTTCGAGCAACAACTTTCTTGTAACAGCGGTCTTTTTTATATACATATAAACAAGTACTTCAAACCAACTTTTTTTTTTTAAACAAATACAATGATAACCCTATCATTGAGCATTTTTGCTTTCAAGGTACTTGTTGTACTGCTCAGGAATACCCTTAAACATTTTGATTTTAGCACGTATCTGTTTCCATGTCATTTGGTCATAATTCTTCTTGTCCCGTGCCATAGCCTACACAGACAACGTAGAAGTAAGAAACACTTTTGTCAATGATTAAATAAATTTCCTTAAACAAGAGATACCTTGTAATCTTCTCCGTGTTTGTCCATTAAGTAGGTGAGAAAGTTTACCACGCTGTTCGGTAGCCTGAACAATTTTTCTCTAGGCGCCCTAGCCTCTGTTTCTAATTCTTTGGCAACGTGACCTTTCATGGGCTCCACATTAACATCCTCTTCCTCTAGCCATCCACCTTCTGAGGGTTCGACGATCTTGCATTTAGCATCCTTAATCAGATCCCATTTAACATTTGGAATCTTCAATGTCTCGTTTGGGTCGTAAGTCAGTCCCATTTGCTTCAAATTAGTCCTAGTGGACATGGTCACCTCCCACGAGTTCTTTATCTGAGGACTGTAAACAAAAATCACGAAAATCGAAAATTGCTCAAAAACAATGTCAAAATATCATGGTTTTTGGTTACGATACTCACCAGGAAATATTCGGCATTTTCCTCAGCTTGTTCCTGAGCCTCTTGCGGTTTACATTCATGCGAAACTTCTTCTTGCGTTTTACCTTTCGAATTTTCGTCATTTCGACGCTGCCGAGTCACCACGTGTCTTACTACACAACAATCGTATGCAATGTATGTAGCATGTAACTCGGTCGTTCAAATCCATGCGTGAACGCTCGAATCAGGAGCAATCAATATTTTCCTGCAGTGTAGATACCACAAAGTGTGTGCATTTCCCTATTTAAAAATAAATCTCCAGAACTTCCCTAGAACAAATCACTAGGTCCTAGCGATGATCGCCAACGAAACTTGTCCTATTCGCGAACTCGCGTAAATTCGTTATTCAAAGTCGCAGTCCAATGTATTTCTCGTCGGGGAAGAAATTCCTCCTTGGAGAACCTGTTTCGTTTAAAAATAGTTGCCTGTTTGACACCGAAATGCATCACAATAGGAAACATTCGATCGTTGAAAGCCGATTGTTCCGAGGAAGCGAGTCGTGTCGACATAATTCTGGATTTGGTAGGAATCCATGCCCGATCGACAATCGTTCATTGTATGCAAATCGTCCTCCTAGTTTCGGGGAACAAATTCTTTCGAGCTGCGACGTGCCAGCATGTCTTTTCACGAAATCATAATGGATTTCGGGCACGTCGACGATTGTGTCACGTTGTCCCTATTTACTATTCATGCGTCCTGATCGATCGAAAACAAATCTTTTGTGGTCGTTTCGTGCTGGAGAAATCCTGCTTCGCGAAACCTAATTTCTCCTAATTCCCCGAGGAGGCGTCCTCCATTTTGTTTCGGCGCAGATATCATTCCGCAACGATACCGCTGCACGATTCATCTTCTAGATATGGAGACGAGTCCACTGTTTGTTCGAAATAAATTTACCCTCGGCAACTTCGACTAATTGTGCTTCTGTTTATTCCGGAACGAACTTAATAGTTCGCAGCGCGAACGCAACGGGAACAATGCAGACAAGGTTCGCGAACTACGGTAATTTATGTACTACGAAGCAACGCGGCATGGTTCGGTGCTATTCTTTGAAACACCGCGATTTAATGAATACCGAAACGCACGCAACGAAGCAACGGAAAAGCTGCAAAAGCATACCGGCATCGAAACAATAAATGAAACGTGCGAATATTTGATCACGAACCTATTGAAAAGTCAGCTCGATTTGCATATTTCGTGATAATATATTATACTATAATATAATAATATATTATACTATAATACAATAATATATTATATAATATATAATATAATATTAATAATACATTTCCGCAATAATTTCGCGCGACCCGCGAGCGAACGGCAAACAGGCGAGGGTAAACAGTACGGCTAAGATTAATTAAAAAATTAAGATTTATTTACCGATGCACAGAGGAAATGTTCCCCGGATGATTTATCCGGGCGAACTTAAGTGGACAGATAGTATACATACAGTGATCACATATAGAATATTTTATACCTAAAACCGCATAAACGCACACGTCTAGGCATGGACAAACGGAGCGAACAATGAGTGCGCGAGAAAGTTGGGTTGATTTTATCTACACGGATCGTTTCAAGCCGGAACCTTCCATTAGCCCTTTCGGCGCTGCGCGCTTTGCAGCCAAGTTCCTCGAACTTCCGTACAGTGCGAGCTTCGCTGAAAGCGCAGCAGCTTCGATCTCTCCTTCGAAGAGAGGGCTCGGGAGTATCGGACTCAGGCTGCCTAGGCTCGAAACGCTAGCTGGATATCAAGGGAACTCCGAAAAAATTGATAGTAGGGTGCGATGGGGTCAGTTGGAGGAATCTAGTTTACCAGGAGTAGTTGGTGCCGAGTCCGCTGAACTCTGTGTGCACGATGGGTGCAGCGTAGGATTTGGAGATCAGCTGAGCCTGCGGCGCGTAATCGAAGGGAGCAGCGTAGGACTTGGCGAGGAGCGGAGCTTGCGCGTAGGATGCGTAGGTCTTGGTCAGAAGAGGAGCTGGGGCGATGGCGGCGGTGTAGGACTTAGCCAGAAGAGGAGACGACGCGTAGGACGTAGCGTACGCTGGAGCAGACGCGATCAGGGCGCTCTTGGCGTACAGGGGAGCCTGGGCAGCGTATTCGTAGCTCTTACCGAAGATCGGGGCGGGGGCGGCGTACTCGAAGCTCTTGGCCAGCAGAGGAGCAGCTGGGGAGATGTAGGACTTGGCGAGAAGAGGAGCCGGGGCTGCGTAGGCTTTGGTCAGGAGAGGCGCTGGGGCGGCGTAGGCCTTGGTCAAGAGAGGAGCAGCGATCGGTGCGGCGTAGGCCTTGGTCAGGAGAGGTGCAGCCGGTGCAGCGTAGGTCTTCGCGATCAGGGGAGCACCTGCCGAGTAGCTGTAGGGGGAGGCGTAGGCCTTGGTGATCAGAGGTGCGCTTTCCGCGTAGCTGTACGGGGAAGCGTAGGCCTTGGCGATCAGAGGCTGAGCACTCGGAGCGAGGTAGGTGGGCGCGGCGACGGCGGCCTTGACGATCGGGGCGTGGTGAACGTCGTAGTTCAATAAGCCGTCGTTGCTGATGCTGTGGCTGCTCACACGGACCGAAGAGTGGGCGCTATCCTCGGCCCTGGAGTACGAGGAGATCACGTTCTGACCCGCGTAACCCTTCTGCGTCGACTCCTGGCTGAAGCCCACGCTGCTCAGGTCTCCGGACGCCGTCGCGATGTCGTACGCTGCTGGTCCTCCGGCGCGGGCCACCGCCAAACAGGCTGCGAATGCTACAAACTAAGGACAAATTTGTACGTTAGTTTTTTCAAATACTTTACCAGCGATTTGCCTACCGCGACAATCCCGAAAATTGAGTCTAGGAGGGAATTCTATCGTTCCGCTGCAAGTTCGCGGCGTCCGATTCAAATGTAAGATCGCGAATAGAACAGATCGTGAAACGAACACGGGCGAATCTTTTGTGTACACCGAGGAGTCGGAGGACCTTGTCCAAGACAGAAGCTAGAGTTGGCCCCGTCAGAAGTTTCGCCGGAGATTGTTAATGTCTCCTAGCAAGTTCAAAGTGTCCCGGCTTGCTCGCTGCTTTATTACCCGGCGCAGCAGCCTGTAACCCCGAGGGTGTTCGCTTTGCGAGCCTTACCTTGAATGCCATTTTGCTTTTTGCTCGAAAGAGTTGCTCGGCTCTGGCTAAAACTGCGGCAAGGCCCACTATTTATACGCGGCCGCGATCGCAGGGGGATCAATCGAATTTTTGGGTGCCACTGTCTCCCGATGCGATTGGACACACCTGGCCCGGGGGAGAGGGAAACACTACCGCCAGGCTCCTTTTTTCTGTTGTTGTCGGATCATTAAGGAACGAGGATAGAAAGCCCCGTGCCGGAGAAAGATAGCCGGACTAAAGGGGACATGGACGAATTCCAGGCGTGGTAACCCGGCGCAATTAAGATCGCCCGGGCCCGACCGGGCCCGTGCAACAACGGGATCCACTCCATAAATCATTCGATCCGATGCATCGTTAAAATGCAATCGTCGATCGGCGACTTATCCTCTGGAACAGCTGTCGCGCTTCAGAGACCGAGGTCAAGCGTTGCACACGCTTGTTGCGACGGTGAGGATCTCTAATCGGCGATTACTCGCGCGATTTCGCAAACCTGTTGTTCGCGAAGCGATAACAGGGGTCACGGTTTATCGTTCGGAGGCTCCTATTCTTCTCGGCAAATTTCGATTAGTTTCGCGGTCCTGATTTCGTGCTGATTGTTAAGAGATTCGGAATGAGACGATATCGGTGAGGAAATATCATCCCCACGGAAGATATATCTTGCAGAGTTACAGTAATGTCTCCCTAATTGACGCTCAGATTGTGCACAAAAGTGGACAATTCGGGAAGAGGAGATACGATTATGCGAACTTTGCACCTCGTTTTGATAATTGTTGACAATTTGTAACTATAAAAACGAGTTGCAAGGCTCGAATACTGGTATCTCCTCTTCCCAAATTGTCCATTTTTGTACGCGATCTGAGCGCGAATTAGGAAGAAATTACTGTACTAAGCATGTGACCGTTGAATCATGGCATGTGACACGAATTGCTTTCGAATCGCCTTCGAATTGTCTCCGAATTACTTTCGAATTGCTTTCGAATTGCCTTCGAATTGCTTTTGAATTTCCTTCGAATTGCATTCGAAACATGGCATGTAGCCTTCGAATTGCCTTCGAATTGCTTTTGAATTTCCTTCGAATTGCATTCGAAACGTGGCATATGGCCTTCGAATTGCTTCGAATTGCTTTCGAATCGCCTTCGAATTGCCTTCGAATTACTTTCGAATTGCTTCCGAATTGCCTTCGAATTGCTTTTGAATTTCCTTCGAATTGCATTCGAAACATGGCATGTAGCCTTCGAATTGCCTTCGAATTGCTTTTGAATTTCATTCGAATTGCCTTCGAATTGTCTTCAAATTGACAATTCGTAACTATGAAAATGAATCGAAGGCTCGAATAATCGTATCTCCTCTTCCCAAATTGTCCATTTTTGTGTACAATCTGAGCGTCAATTGGGGAGACATTACTGTATTTGCAGAGGGTCGAAGGTGCGCAAATATTTCGCATGGATAAGAACGGCAATCGTGTTCGGTAATCGGTTATGTCAGACATTTTCGGGACCTTCGCTTATCCCCGATCGCGAAAGGGAACGTGGCTACTACGTCACGAGCAACATTCGCCACCTTTTTCTCCTTGTTTCGTGTCCTTCCCTTCGTTTATGTAACGTGATACATATACCAATACCGGGCCGTGATATTGTAAAACCAGTCAAGGACACGCTTTCTCCGAATTGTGGCACTGACATATAAAACCATATATGCTAGCGTGCACCGGTTTCACGTAACGCCGGCCGTCGTTATCGGTGATCTGGTTACATTATTAGACAAAAGTGGCTGTCGCCGGCTGTGTCGCGGCGCGGCCTGTCAGCCCGCGGCGCTTTGTTCCCGCAGAAACTCGTGGGCGAGGCGCTCTCTTTCTCCTTCTATCAACCCTGAAGCGATCCGCAATGGCGTAACCCGGTGTACCACGGTTTTTCATAGGAAAAGACACTTTCTACTTCTCCGTTGTGTCGCCTGGTACGCCTGTCGTCAAGCGATCCGATACCTGAAAGTGAGGAAGGGGAGAACGGGTGCTAAATAGGCGTTCCTGGACGAACGACAAAGAAATCCTCGTAGCTCACGCGTTCCGATCGACCTTCCTCGGGCGACTCCGTCTCGTTGCTTCGATCGGACCGACCGTTCACCCTGGGGGTGAAACTCTGCCGAGGCGACCGGTTGTCCAAGACCGCCGACCTTCGACTCGCCACCCATTTCTCGGCTCTCTTTGCCAGCCCCGCCTCGTGCCCCGCGTCTCGCAGAGAGAAATCGCTGAAGACGCTGTCGATCCTGAAAGCATCTGGATCGCAAAAGTTCCCCGGAATAGGGTCGTCTACGATTTCACGCTGTTCTAAGTCCTCCATCGATCCAAGAGGCGTCAAGGCGGGCCTTCTCCTTGGGTCGAAATCCTCCGATTTCGAAAAACGTACTCGCGACGTCGTTGACGTCTCTCTCCGGAAAAGAAATTCCCCCGGATCCCCGTCGCTGGCGCGTCTCCTGAGCTGCGATAAAGATTCGGGTATTTCTTTTATTGTCTAGCGACGGTCTCGGAAAGCTACGGTCACCATTATGGTGTCAAACTTCTAACACTCGTCTCGATGCTCGGCGGCGTATCGATGTCCTTAGCCGCTGAATCGTAACCCTTAATGGACCTATAGTGAACGTACAGGCTTCTGATTAGGTCCAATTCTCTAGGTGACAAGGATTTGCTTTCAATGAGCCGCTCCGTCATCCGGAGGTACTCTTGGATCGGCGAGAAATCTTTCGAGCAGCACAGCAACTCGTCGTGATCTGTGCGAACGCAGAAGTAACGTCGTTCGTGGAGGGATTTTGCAGCGTCGTTTGGTCTTTTAGCACTGTCGGGGCTCACTTGGCAGTTGCTTAGGCTTGATCTCGACCGATTTTTCAACGGTAATTAGCTCTTGGGGGGTCGTAGGTGACGCGTTCTCGCTTCCCCATGTGTCCGGTATGGGCGGTCTCTCTGGTATCGAAGAACTTCGCATTGTTCTTCGATCATTTCAATTTCGATGTCATTTCATTTATTTGTATAACCTTCTTCTAGCCTCTCGTTACATTAAAGTTCGATTTAATTTAACGACGGCGGTTGTAAGAACAATTTCACGATGTTGCATATCCGCGGTGCACGATTGGTCATCGTGAAATTCATCGGAAACCGCACGCGACGAATCAAATTCGATTCGATTGAATTCGAGCGAAGGAAAATTTTTTGTTACAGAGATATTATGATGTAGTTTAGGGACGCGACACGAGGCAGCGATTATCGATGAAAATCGCGGGAAAAAAAATAGCAAAACAGAAGCTCGACGAGGATGGGATTCGAACCCACGCGTGCAGAGCACATTGGATTAGCAGTCCAACGCCTTAACCACTCGGCCACCTCGTCAGATATGAAAGTAATCTCTAAAAGTTCGTGATCATCGGTGTCCTCCCGATATTTCCCGTCGAATCTCCTTTCACTTTCGGCGAATCGGCGAAAGGATCTACTCTCTATCGATCCAGTAGATCGCGGAACGCATCCGCGCGCTCGCTCTGTCTGCTGTGTCGCACGATTAGTGGCATACACTCGCCGCATTACGTAATCGTATTAACTCGGTACATAGACCCGGCGCCATCGATTGATACGACCAGTGTTCCTCCGAGATTGCCCGCATTCCACGTGAGAAACTGGAGGACAAAGTTTCGTAAAAGTCGCTCGGTCATTTGCGAGCCGCGTCGCTCAATTATCTGCGATCATTTATAAACATGAGGTCTGTCAACAATATTATCACGTTCGCCTCTTTGCTGGCGTCCCGAAGACCAGTTGCGGTCGGGAGAATGTTGCAACCAATTGGCGATTAGAGGCGATTGCATGTGCACAAGCAGATACCGCCGCAGCGTTGCAGTCCGGCTATGAACGCGGTGAATTGGGACTCGTATTCCTCAAGGCTCTCGGATGCTATGACATGATTTATGAGGTCAGTAATCACGATTGCCGTTAGATTAGGTAATAATCAAGCCGCCGCTGTCTCAGTGTTTTTTTCCAATGCATAGTCATCGCGCAGACGTTGCGACGATCTCGTCGATTATTTCGAACGTCTTCTTCGTTCCCTGTCAGCATGGAGAACAACAACGCAGGGCCGACGTACACGCCGGTGTACGATGACGAAACCACGAAAATCATCGAGAGCAANAGCAGTCCAACGCCTTAACCACTCGGCCACCTCGTCAGATATGAAAGTAATCTCTAAAAGTTCGTGATCATCGGTGTCCTCCCGATATTTCCCGTCGAATCTCCTTTCACTTTCGGCGAATCGGCGAAAGGATCTACTCTCTATCGATCCAGTAGATCGCGGAACGCATCCGCGCGCTCGCTCTGTCTGCTGTGTCGCACGATTAGTGGCATACACTCGCCGCATTACGTAATCGTATTAACTCGGTACATAGACCCGGCGCCATCGATTGATACGACCAGTGTTCCTCCGAGATTGCCCGCATTCCACGTGAGAAACTGGAGGACAAAGTTTCGTAAAAGTCGCTCGGTCATTTGCGAGCCGCGTCGCTCAATTATCTGCGATCATTTATAAACATGAGGTCTGTCAACAATATTATCACGTTCGCCTCTTTGCTGGCGTCCCGAAGACCAGTTGCGGTCGGGAGAATGTTGCAACCAATTGGCGATTAGAGGCGATTGCATGTGCACAAGCAGATACCGCCGCAGCGTTGCAGTCCGGCTATGAACGCGGTGAATTGGGACTCGTATTCCTCAAGGCTCTCGGATGCTATGACATGATTTATGAGGTCAGTAATCACGATTGCCGTTAGATTAGGTAATAATCAAGCCGCCGCTGTCTCAGTGTTTTTTTCCAATGCATAGTCATCGCGCAGACGTTGCGACGATCTCGTCGATTATTTCGAACGTCTTCTTCGTTCCCTGTCAGCATGGAGAACAACAACGCAGGGCCGACGTACACGCCGGTGTACGATGACGAAACCACGAAAATCATCGAGAGCAATTTCTCGAGAGCCAAAGGTATTTACCCCGTTTCACTTTCGCAACGCATAATTGCGCGGATGCTTGCCCCGAGGTGCTTCGGTCGGGAGGGGAGCAAAAGGCTGCCTTGTTTTCAAAACCTGCTTCGCTTTTCAGAGGAATGCTACCTGGACCACGCGGGCGCTACTTTATACTCCGACTCGCAGATAAAACACATCGCCGGTGATTTGCATAACTCGCTTTATGCTAATCCACATTCCGTGGGGACCGCGAGCAATATGACTCAGGATGTCATAGAGCGGACGAGATATTTGTAAGACGCCCCGCGCTGCGAGGACGTATACATAAACCAGCGAATTTACTAACGAGCTCTTTCGTTCTCTTCCAGGGTGTTGAATCATTTTCACACGTCCTCCGACGATTACGCCGTCGTGTTCACGGCCGGGGCGACCGCCTCGCTCAAGCTTGTCGCCGATAATTTCGTGTTCGCCGAGGAGCCGGCGAACGCCGCTTCGGCCGGCGCGGGGCATTTCGTTTACACGCAGGACAACCATACGTCGGTCCTCGGCATGAGGGAGGTTGTCGCAAGCAGGGGAGCGAGGGTGACCTGCTTGAAGCACGACGACGCTTTCCAGATTTTTCGCTCGTCCCCGCCGGCCGCGAATTCCTCGCGGAACAAGAGCAACTCGCTTTTCGCGTATCCGGCGCAGTGCAACTTTTCGGGGCTCAAGTACCCCATGAAATGGATCACCGACGTGCACAATGGGATCTTGTCGAGGGTAACAGCCGACACAACTACTAAGTGGTACGTGCTGCTTGACGCCGCCGCTTTCGTGTCTACCAGCGATCTAGACTTGTCCGTTTACAAGCCGGACTTCGTGGTTCTGTCCTTTTACAAAATGTTCGGATACCCAACCGGCATCGGGGCACTGCTCGTGAAGAACTCGAGCGCGGATGCGCTGCGCAAGGTCTACTATGGCGGCGGCACTGTGGACGTATGCTTGAGCTCCGAGATGTTCAATGTGAAAAGGCAGAACTTGTGTCAAAGGTTGTATCAAAATTCACGGCGTCCTCGCGTGGATCTTTCGTTTAATCGATTTATAAATATATTTGTAGGTTCGAAGACGGCACTGTGCCGTTTCTTTCGGTCGCATCCTTGAGGCATGGTTTCGATGAATTGTCCTCCCTTACCATGCCGAAAATCTCCCGACACGTGTTCTCGCTTGCGCGATTCGTGCACAACGCCTTGCTGAGGCTTCATCATGGTAATGGAAAACCGGTTGTAAAACTGTACGCCGACACGGCTTATGAAAACTGTGATTTCCAGGGGGGTATTGTCGCGTTCAATCTTGTACGGTCGAACGGTGAATACGTAGGGTACATGGAGGTGTTGAACATGGCCGCGTTGTTCAAGATACATCTCAGAACCGGGTGTTTCTGCAATCCTGGCGCGTGCCAGAGGCACTTGGCACTGTCCAACGAAGACGTTCTGCGGAACTATGACGCGGGATATGTTTGCGGGGGTGCTGCGGATTTGATAAACGGCAGACCGACAGGGGCTGTAAGGGTTTCGTTCGGATACATGTCCACGTTCGGGGATGTACGGACTTTATTAAGTATGATCAAAGAATGTTTTGTAGATGGAGCACAAGTGGATCAAATTCCAGACTGGTGGCCCAACTACAAAGCAGTCTTGCGTAAAAAGTATTTCCCGCGCGACACGGACGTAGAAAGCACGCGGCACGTAAAAAACAACAACAACAACAATGCTAACGATCTTAGCAGTAAATTACAAAACGTGAAGGAATACGTGAGCCAATTTATCGTTGGCAAGCAATTTTTCAACGTGACCGTGGACAGCGATGGAACTGCAAAGAAAAAATGTACGTTGCAAGAATTGTACATATATCCGATAAAATCGTGTGCAGCCTATCAAATCAAAGGATCGTGGAGTTTGAACTCCAAAGGTTTACAGTACGACAGAGAATGGATGATCGTTACATCCTCTGGCACCTGTTTAACGCAGAAGCAAAATATCAGCTTGTGTTTGCTGAGGCCGGTTATATCGAAAGAAAAGAAAATCATGCATTTGAATTATCCAGGTACATAAGCTAACTATTGTAAATATCATCGATTCGATTCTATCTAACGATTGTAACACGTTTTAGGTATGCCTGCAATAAGTATTGCATTAGATAATAATTGTATAAGTACTGTAGAAGGGAAAGTATGCCAAAGTAGAGTCTGCGGACACAAAGTGGAGGGCACTGACTGTGGTTCAGAGGTCTCCGAGTGGCTTAGTTTAGCATTAGGTTTGCCAAATTTGAGGCTCATAAGGCAGAGCAATCGCGAGACCAAACAGAAAGGTATAATCAAGATTCTGTAAATTATGGCAGCGAATTGACTGAACTTTTTCGTGAACAGATGACAAGAAACCTGAGCTATCGTTCTCCAGTCAAGCTCAATATTTATTAATAAACAAGGCAAGCGTGTTGTGGCTCGGCGACAAAGTGCCCGACACGAATGTTCAGAAGGACACGATTATACACAGGTTCAGAGGTAACATGGTGTTAAGTGGCTGCGAAGCTTTTGCAGAAACACAATGGAAATACGTGTGCATTGGGAAAAATAAGTTTTCGGTATGTGATCTGATTAAAGTACAGATTATCAGTTTTCATGCCGAGGTATTATACAATAATTTGCCTTGTTTAGGTCACGGGTCCTTGCACCCGGTGCCAGATGATTTGCATCGATCAAACAACTGGCATAAAAACCGCGGAACCATTACGAACTCTTGCCGAACAATTCCACGGTAAAATAAAGTTTGGCATTTATTTGACCAAAGAATCCGAAGACGATGGAATAATTACTATCGGAGATACCGTCAGTGTCTCGTGACCTCATTGTCAACAAAATAGTACGATTACACGATTTTATTTTCACGCAAACAACGCGATTGCACGCATAACAAATTAAATCACGAGGAACTTATGAAACCTACATACTAAAACGAAGTTATTCTGATTAGTATCTGCAGTACATGAACAACATTGTATCACTTTTCTATATAGTTATATATAGCTATATATCTAGTTTTATATAGTTATATATAGTTCTATATAGCTAGTTTTATATAGTTTTAGATTAGCTATATATCTAGTTTTATATAGCTATATAGTTATATATATAGTCCGCACCATACAGGAATCTCTAAACTTAAGGTTGTTGGTAGCATTGAAACGACGCTGCACTTTATTTGACGAAAAACGAGTAGAAAGTAAAATAACTAAAGCAAATTTATATTTTTTTTTAATAAAACGATAATTATAGAATATTCTGAGAACCCTAAACCAGCTGATCGTTGTTGAATAAGTATGTTCTCCTGTCGAAGCTAAAAAATGTTCTTCACCAATGAAGAACCGCGTCTTCCGACCGCCATTTTATTCCCAAGGCAGGGACTTTAACTCTTTCCACAGTTAGTTTGGCGGAACTGCTGGCCCATCCATCCGACATCCACCCACAATCGTGGCGTCCTTCCACCTGTCGCACATCGGTGTGGACGAGGTTCAGTGTAGTTCGCGAATTTAGAACGGTGGTGTTGATTTTTACGGGTTTTGCGGCAACCATAACTTCGGTCCCGAAGATCCTCCACTTCGGCGGACGCAGCAGGCTGTACCATATACCGGGTGTTCCGTGTCGAGACGCGCGTACCTTTTGAAAATTGTATACGTAGGCAACAGGTGTCTAATGTCGCACATGTTTCGTGCACCGAAACGATCGAACCGTCATTGAAATACAAAGGTTCTTTGCGACAGAGGAACTTACTCTAAGTCGTGCCTAGAGGGTTCGATATCTCGCGTCGAAGTACCAATTCTCGACAGAATCCGCCAATAATTTGTATCGCCGTTTATCGAAGATGGATTACGATTACTTAATTAAATTTCTGGCCCTTGGGAACTCCGGAGTTGGCAAGACCAGCTTCCTGTGCCAGTACACGTCTGGCACGTTCGACTCGAATTTTATGTCGACGGTCGGCATTGATTTTAAAGAAAAACGGGTGGTGAGTTGGTATATTTAGCGATTAGAAAACGACTGCGGATTTTGTGGCGGGTGTTTCCAATTTGATACGATTTTGAGGCTACTATTGACAGAATAAACTTGCATTAAAATCCGCAGTCCAGTTGATCGGCAGAGGTACACAGCAAGTGTTCTTTTATGTAAATGAGACTTAAGGTACATATGGGTCTACTGACAAGTTGGGATCATTATCTATTGCAGATATACCAGACAGCGAATGGTAGAACCCAACGTGTGCATTTGCAGCTGTGGGATACAGCTGGCCAGGAGCGGTAATGGTTTTTCTATTTTGGTAGTAACGCTTTAATAGTAGCAGCCTTTAATAACAATTTCGAGTAGTTACAAGCTATTAACACTTATTTATGATCATTGTGAAACATTTTAAGTACTTGGACTGATGCGCATACATTACTTTGTGCGTTCATGGCAGCCGATGTCATTAGCATTCCCCCTAATAGTGATAGTGATAGTGATAGTACCTAATTATCATAATTATCTACAAAGACCTTCCGTGCTATTAATATCCAGGTTCAGAAGTTTAACCACTACATTTTACCGGGATTCCATGGGGTTCCTCCTAATCTTTGACCTGACCAATGAGCTCTCGTTCCTCGAAGTTAGAAATTGGCTGGAACAACTTAGGGTACTAATCATTTATTAATACTGTAGTTGTAGATGGCTTAGTCTGTAAGGTTGAACGATGATTTGAGTCGAGGTTTGCCTGTTCGCATTCTGTAGCACAGTCGTTTCTTAGTTCTGCATGGTGCATGATATCGTAGCTTTACCCCATAGTGTAGAGCTGTATATGGGACTCTCACGCTTTCAGTAATTCAAATTAATCACTCAGGACCTCTGCAAGTCTCTCACGTGTTCTATAAATAAATCCTGTATTACGGAAATCAAACAACTATGTACACGACTGTATACTACTGTCATGTTCTTATACACTTAATAAATTTATTGCTCCTCCCCCCAAAAAGACTATCTACGATGTTCCATTCTATCCATTAGCACAAGCGTGTTCGATGTTACTTCGCAACTCAAACCGTCGTTCGATCGTTCAATCCTACAAAGTACTCGTTAAGCTAATCAAAATCATTGAAGGTATTTGTACACGTGTAGACTCACGCATACTGCGAAGATCCAGACATAATTCTCTGCGGAAATAAGTCCGATCTGGAAGACAGACGTGTCGTTAGCGAAGATAAGGCACGGGAATTAGCGGAGAAACACGGGTAAATAGCACACGGCCCGATCTCCCTTTGAAGAAATGTTCTGACCACAGCTAGCTCGAACAAAATCAATTTGCTGCTCAAGGTTACTGCCCCCACCAAGCCGACCATCACTGCTCCATCTGCCGACTTTGCACGCAAATTGGTGCCAGGTTGCCACGATTGCAAACAGGAGTCGGCACTGGTGCTACAGAGATGCTAAATTTTAAAACAGCCAACTTATTCGACGCTAGAGACCTGCGAATCGAAATTTCTAACCATTATGCACGTTTAAGATCATAACGAAGGTGTTAAACAAAGGTCTTTCTACGACGTTATCGAATTTAACTAATCGTACTAGTTTGAAAATTTAATGTTCCGACTTGGTGTCAGTGCACTGGTCTCAGGATCATAGATTGAAGGGGTAAATTCTCCCTAATTGACCCTCGGTTTGTACACAAAAATGGACAACTTGGAAGAGGAGACACGATTAATAGAGTCTTGTGGCTCGTTTTTATAGTCACCGATTACCAAGAACTATAAAAACGAGCCGAATAATCGCACCTCCTCTTCCTAAATTGTTCATTTTTGCTATTAAGCTGAGGGTCCATTAAGGGGAATTTACTGTACTTATTTTTTCGCCAACAAACATGAGTGAGGTGCTAGAGAGATACAAAATTTTAAATCAGATTGAAGAGATACAATAAATTTTCCCTAATTGACCCTCAGCTTGTGCACAATAAAATGGACAACTTGGAAAGGAGAGACACGATTAATAGAGTCTTGCTACTCGTTTTTATAGTTACCGATTACCAAGAACTATAAAAACGGGCCGAATAATCGCACCCTCCTCCCAAATTGTCCATTCTGGCTTCTAAGCTAAGGATCAATTAGGGAGAATTCACCATACTTATCCTCCAGCCAACAAAATTGAAGTCCGAAATTGGTATCGATCGAATTAACGACAGGGTTTCGTAGAAAGACGAATCAAGATGTACATAGAACCCAAGAACCGTAGACCGAAAAGCCGCGAGCGATTTAGTCGCAAAATTACCATTCTGAATTGGTATCGATCGAACCGCAACTTCCAACTTGCAACATGCAACCGTCCCGCAACTTGCCTCGGATGTAAGATCGACCGGACGAAGAAACGCGATCCCGATCGTTCGGTTGCCGGCCGAGACACGAGGATGAATTGGACGGTGCACCGGCCGAGAATCAAGTCCCGCGTCCTGCCCCCCATCTCCCCCGGCGTCTAGCTTTTTGTCAGAACATTTCTCCAAAGAGGACGGGGCGAAGCCCTCTAATCCCATATAACCTGGCGGAGCCGGGAATCGTGACAGCTCAAGGGCTCTGCATGGATTGTGTTCCCCAGTTTGGTTTACCTGGAAACGAGCGCGGCCAGCGGGCAGAACGTGGCGCACGCCGTGGAGGTGCTCCTGGACCGAGTGATGCGCCGAATGGAGACCACCGTGGACAAATCGTTGCTGCCACATCAGAAGGTGCTGCGGTGCCACGAGCGCGACACCCCGCCGCCCAGCAGCTCCTGCTACTGCTGACAGTGTCCTTACACGTAGCCGAACAAAACGCCGCCCCCGCAATCGCTCTGAATTCGGCGGACCCGCGCGTTCTTCGGCTGACGTCTGAAACGAATCTTGTACCTTGAATCTCCCAGCGTTCCGGCCGGCCGAAACCGAGACGCTCGACGGCCAAACCGGCTTCCTCCCGATTGTTCAATTCCTGGACGTCGAACGTTTCCGTTCGGGCACCATCGGGACTTATACGGTTTTATACGCGGGCACGCCAATGGATTGTCTCGCGTTCCACACATCCGTTTGTACTACGTAAACGATCTTCCACGCATCCACGCATGTATACTGTCGTCTTCCATTGCCGCTTCCCCTGGTATTTTACATCAGGACCGTTCTCGACGCGCCTTGTCTCTCATCCTCCGCGACCATGCGATTTTTGCCTGTTACTCTCGGACGCACAACGTGTTCAATATTCGTACGCGCATACATAGGTCGCGTACTGTTCGTCTGGGATGCTGGCTGTGATCGGCTATTGTTGTCTGCCGAACGATGGCTGTTTTCTTGGACAGATCTCGACTAGCGATTTTACAGTTCTCAGCGGTGGTTAAGTCGCGTGTTTGCAACGAGATTGATGCTATTGGGTGAGAGGGTGTGCTGTTTAAGAGAGGCGAAGAACCGTCTTTTCCGAGAAATCTCGGGGAGCATCTCTTTTATCTTGTCGAATTCGGTGGCTTCGTTGCGAACATTCGCGCGGCTGTTGAAGTTACCGGATTACAGAATAGCTTCGGAACTGTTTTAATCGTGAACGAGATCCCGACACTTCGCGATCGCATACTTTGCGGTCACCTTCGTTGCAACTTTGCTACGGGAATCAGTCTCACTTCACTCGCCAAACATTGTGATACAGTGGCTATGATTCGGGGCAGGGTTTCGGTGGTTTTCCGACTATATCTAATGTATTTTTGATGCTGTTATTGTGTCTAATCAAAGTTCGTACCACCTAGTCGTAAGTACCGTGCCAAGGGGAGGGCGGGGAACAATCAAACTGTTCGCGACTCCATCGCCTCTCGCGCGACGCTCGTTCGTACACCGTCGTTGGGTTTAATGGTCGCGCGATCCGGCTAAGTTGCGACCGATTATGCAGGTACAGTGGCGCACGAAAGTGTTCGTAGACGCGCGATAACTTTTTTGAAACTGTGGAGAAATAAAAGCCTCTTGTTTCTAACTTCTTTATCTGAGCCTATAACGAAAATTTAAAAAATGTTTCTCATAGATCTCGGTAAGTTATATGCGTGCTGAAGATTTGCTGACAAAAAACTGCGGGCTTCGTACAGGTTTTGGTCGAAATCGTGACAAAACTGCGACTTTTGCCATCTTTAATTTGTTGTAATCAATATCGATAAAATTTTCAGCGTGCGTACAAGTTACCGAGATCAAGATATTCTTGAAATTTTCGTTATAGGCTCAGATAAAAAATATAAAAACCGAGTTTTTATTTTTTTTTGTCGTTTCAAATAATAGCGAAATTTAAATAAGACATTTTGGCCATTGTCTAGTATGCTAGTCCCTCTATCATCTAAAAAAATTCAAGTCATTTAGACCAGTTTAAAAAAAAAGTTGCATTTTAAAAGCTGTACTAACACTTTTTGGGCCACCGTACTTGCGCATACGCGTATATTAATCACGAACGCAAGCTGATTACGCGTCGAAAGACCGAGCACGTTATTTATCCTGACATTTTTATACGTGTGTTGTGTGTTCGGGTCTAAAAACCTCGATCTTTCCTAAACGATCGCTGACGCTGAAGGTGCTAGTCCGAAATATCGATTAAAGAAATCAGCTGCATCTTTCGAGCGAAGATGAATCTCGAATCGATCGAGGAATTGTTTCCTCAACGTTAATGTTTTAGAAATGGAATTAGAAATTTTTCTGGATCGTTGAAATGAAGACGAGGCGTAAATCGATTGAGAAATCTTTTCTCAAAATGAGTTCCAAAGGAAAGCCAACCGATGTCTAGCAGTACAAATCGAAACTAATCAAAAATATTCTAGAAATGAAATTAAAAATTTGCCTAGATCTTTCGGAAGGAAACAAAATCTGGATCGATCGAGGAAGCATCTTCCAAATCGGTTCTGAAAGAAACAGACGGAACTAGAGGACAGTTACCATTCAGCGATCAAAGCAGTAGTATCGCGAAGACTATGTGTGTTACTTCCTCCAATTTTTACACGATGTTACAGATTATCGAGTTCGACTATACAAAAAAAAATATATATATATATATGATTGTTGAGTGTATACAAATTGATATAATAGTAACTCGCTAGATGTTTTCTATCAAGACGTTTGGGCATGACGAAGATGTCGGCGCCCCGGGCTGTGGTAGAGACTATTCTCTTCGTTCAGTACAACAATCGTAGACCAGGGTAGTTCGTTTTCGAATCAACGTTGTCGCACCAGTGTTTTAATGCGAATCGACTAGTGTTCATTTCGGCAAGTGTGTACCGTTGCAGACTCGTCACATTCGTAGCAACTAATACGCTTCAAGAGTATTGTTATTGTAAACGGTACGACTCTGTCCGTGTGTTGTGAAAAGAAAAAAACAAACAAAGATTAATAAACGATTACTGCTAATTCATCGATGAGTCTTCGAGGACGACGGTAGGAGGAGGATGAGGAGGTTCTAAGCTGCTTGGCTCAGGTCCTCGGTCGCTCGCCGCTCGAATGGAAAACGCGAAGAATAGTTTCTCCCCCCTCGCTGTAGACAGCAGGTGTTCTTTTCGCAGTTTCGATTATTCCTCCCGGCCCGCGCCGGTTCGCAGTCAAACGCAAACCGATCTCGGCGAGAGGAGGCCGGAGCTCTGGAAAATAGCTCGATGAAAGTTGCTTTCATCAATAACCGGAGCGGGTAAAAAGTGCGGCCGGCCTGAGTCAAGTTCTCCGCGGCAGAAACTTCCTTTATGGAAGTTCGATCGAACTTTCTGACCACCTCTCGGCCCGGCTTATTAGCCGGCTATTTATACACACCGGTGTTATTGTTTACGAGTACGTCTGCTTTTAAGCTCGCCGCCGGAAACTTATTTTTACGGCGAAACTTCGATTCGACGAAGTCTACCAGCCACACGTTTCACACGAATCGCCCTCGCGCGGCCCGCTCTGTGCGGTATTTGGGTCCCCGGAAGCGACTAGACAATTTTTTTTAGACCCATGCTCGTTGCAGAATATGAAGATTTCGTTTTCAAATTCGGAATTACGAGCCGCAGCGAATGACGAGGACTCTTAGAACAACCAGAGAATTCGAATGAAAGCGACGGATGCAAGTGAATGGGCAGATGGTACGAAACACGAAGATTTATTTGTTATTCTAAACATTAATTTCATTCGACCAATTGGTAGAATCAGACGTAAAAAGCGAAGAGTTAAACAGTATTCAGAACAGGGAATGAAAAGAAACGATGTTCGCGAAGGTATAACTTCTAGTCCATCAGAGATTACATTCAATCCTATCATGAATTAGTTATATGTATCAGACAACCAGCAGAACCGTATGAAATTAACAAATGCGAATCACACTGTGCCGTGTTTCAAGTTCTGCAGACAATTGCAGATTCACCGTTTTCGGGACTCGAATATCCCACAATGCGTCGCAAGGAGGAGGAGCGTTTCTATTGTATTTAAACCGAGTTTATTGAACAATAAAGAGCAACAATGAAATGTACTCATGAGCCTAACGTCGCGGGAACCGCTGCTATTGTATACCCATGCCATGAAACCGGAATACAGGGTGTCTCAAAATTATTGTACAAGCGAGAAATGAGAGGTTCCTGAGGTCATTCGAAGCAACTTTTTCCTTAGCGAAAATGCAATCCGCGGCTTCGTTTGCGAGTTATTGACGAAAAACGGTGACCAATGAGAGGCGAGATCAGCTGGCGCAAGGCGGGGCCGAGCCAACTAGCGGACGAAGCCCGGTACCGTTGATTGGCTCGGCCGCCAAGCGCTGAGCGAGCTCGTCCCTCATTGGTCAGCGTTTTTCGCTAATAACTCGTAAACGAAGCCGCGGATTGCATTTCCGCAAAGGAAAAAGTTGCTTCGAATGACCTCGGGAATCCTTTATTTCCGCATTGCGAGACATTTTTGGGGCACGTTGTGTAATATCGGCGGAAGCATCTAGAGACGTTTTGGCGATATTTTGGACTCGCTTTGCCGGTCGTTCGACGGCAATGGAGCGATTAGGCTTTCCTAGCTTTGTCTCCAACGTGCCGTTGATACCGGTAACGACCACTTTGAGACTACCAGTTAGATGCTCTCCCTCTGTGCCGGAGTAATTATTACGTGGCCCCTCAAGTTCACTCGATGGAGGCCAGACAAAGCGATGGGGACCGGCTCAAAGCATACGATCCAGGACTATCAAAAGGATGCTATTTATCCGACCGTGGTTGGTTCGCCGCCCACGCCGGAGTCTCCTCTCCTCTCCGCTCCTCTCCTCTCTCCTCTTTCCACCGGTGTTCGTTGGGACAACGGCTCCGTTTCCGGCTCTGTCCTTCGTCGCGTACGAAATACCGCGAGGCGAGTGCACGAGTTTCCTCACAGTGTCAAGAACTGCTGACCGGAAGTTACCGGCAAGATCCACCGCCGCGCTTTCGAGTTCGCGGTGACGAAGACGTTTCAATTACTCGAATTGTTCGCGGGCCGAACGCTCGCGCGATTCCTGACTTACCAGTTAATCCTCCATTATGCACAGTGGCTGCACATAATGTCTCGGCGCTCACGCATTCTGCGAACGGAACGCGTCCACGGAAACGTCGCAGAATTTTTTCTCCGGTCGATTCTGCCGTGGTTTCGAAGATCGGAGCTTCCTCTCTGCAACGACTCCTCGAAACTTGATCCACCATTTTTCTTGTCCGTTTTACGGAAGAAAAACGCGGAGCTTTCATTCGCTTCCGCGCGCCTTGTTTTAGCGGCGGCACACTTTTCACTTCGTAGCTCGACGAGACGACGGCAAAAAGTCGTAGATCAATTTTCGATGCGTCATTGTAAAGAGGAAACGTCAATTTTCGGATCCGCGGTGTTCGGATTTGTCGAAAGCATTTGCCAACGCTTTCGCAGACGTTTCAGTTCGCAGCGTTCGGGGAGAGACGGAACTTTCCGGAACGTTTTCCGGTTGCTGGAACGTGGAAAGGCGTTTCGGAACTCGATATTAAGACGTCGCGGCGCCGCAACGTCGCGATGGATTAATCGCGGGAGCCACGAATTAACTCGTGCGCCTAATGACGGATTGATTTAATAGCTTCTGGAGGGGAAGACGCGGTTCGCGAGGTCGGCCGACATTTCCGGCGGGGTTTCTTGGGCAAACACGCGCCAACTTCTGGTTACACGGGCCAAACACGGAATCCTGCTCGCGTGGCAGATCTCTGGACGGCCTGACACGGGATCTGCCGCGCTTGTCAGGCAAAGGGAAACAATTCCAGCTAGATATCGGGCCGGCGCGGCGCGGTGCGCCGCGGCGGATAAAGCGAAATTGCGGAGCCTCGGCCTCGGCCGCGTCGGAACCACGCTGTTTTCTGGGTCACCGGCGCCTTCTCGCTGATTCATAACTTCCGGATGACACCGCGCCGCGAAAAAGGGAACTGCCGGCTAAGATGCGTCGATCTTAGAACCGATCCCATCGCAAATTGCTTCGGAAAATTCGCACGACGCCGTCGAGACGCTAGAACTTGTTGCGCGACTTGGCTTTTTTCTTAGCGGATTAACTCGCGGTTCCTATTTGCATTTTTATTGCACTGTTAGACCCTTGCGCTACGATTTCTCCCACGACCGCGTTCGTTAGCGTTCCTTCGCACGAAATAATTTCCCTAACAGGAGAATTTTTGCTTCTTGTATCTCTTTATTTAGTTTTAGAGTTTCGAAGATAAAAGAATCGTATTTTTGATGCTTGACATTTGTTTAACACCATTCGACTATGTTTGCAGCCTTTCCGAAGCCAAAGTAATCGAAATCGAGATACCGGGTGACTTTTGAATGTTTCGGATGAATTATTACATCGAATAAGTTTCGTTGAGGAAACTGATTGTTTTTGTTTCTAGCTTGTTAATCCTTGGCGCTCCGTTGGCTCAGTATGGCTTATGTGGCTTATGCATAATATATTTATATATAAATAATATTTACATATATATGTATATATATATATATATATTTATTTATTTATTTTATATATAATTATAATTTATTTCTAATACAAAAAACATACAAAAATTTCACTAAAAATGTGGAAGTTGCTTCGAGTCTGTAATTATTCACACAACTTTGTACCAGCGAGCCTCTTCGCCGTTTCACCAGACATTTTTAAAATGAAAGTCCAATTTCAGTCTCTTTATTTAAAGTGCTAGGACTTATTCTGTCCTGTTTACATTATTTTCCACGCACTCTATTACGCTGCTCGTGGTAAACGAAAGTCGGTCACGCCGTTCCTATTAATTCAGGAATCGAGGGATTAGGATAGCATAGGATTTTCTCTCGCGGCACGCCTCTCGCAGTCTCCTGCGATCCTGGTAACAATGGAGAGAAAACTACAGCCTACCAATACGGCGCAGTTGCTCACTCCTCCTACTCCTCTCTCTCTCTCTCTCTCCCTCTCCCGCGGCTATCGAGACCCTCCGTTAGCATTCTGTTCTCCTATCACAAAGAGCCATTTTTCGTCGAGAACGTTCGAGCATTTCCTTCGTTGAGAACGTTCGCCGTAAGAGCACACATAAATTTGACAGGAGTATCGCGCGTGTGCGATCGTTTAACGAGCGTTTCATTAACATTTCGTTGTACAGCCGAGTCGGTCGTATCTAATTAATTCGCGGCGCATTAATTGCTATCGCGTTAAGACGATCCGCGCGATTCAATTGTTCCGGTATCGATGGAAATTTAATTGGAATTACCTGGTAATCTATCAAAATAATATGTGCTGAACGGATTATATAGCATTGCCAGTGGAAAATAGTAAACGATGCGATCGCCGAAAGCGGCCGTAATAATCGTTCAATTAAAGTACCAACGTTATCCGTTCGTTAACAATTATTCAGCAACGCGTTTCCGGCGGAATCTTCGGAATTTTGCTGAGCCGAATATCGCGGTGATTTCGGGGGAATTTTTCTGGATGTTCCCCCCCGTTCGGCACAGTTGCCGAGCGAAGACGAGCGATTAGCAACACCGAAAAATCCGAATTTAATCCCGGAAGATCCACGCGGCTCCGAGCAACGCCGGTTAAATTATTAATCAAACCGGCTCATTTCGAGAAACACAATTAATCTCTCTGCCCAGCGACGCTCTATCGCAATAAATCTCCCGCGGCCGAACTTCCGCAGCCGCGCGAATTTCGACGAGCCGCGGCGGAGGATCGAATGGGGCACGTTCCGGCAAACACCTGCGATTACGCGAATCGCCGGTTCCGCGATGCGTTTCGGGTATCTCGGAACTCTTCTGCCGCAGTTTTTATCGTCCTGCGGGGCTATCCGGCCGTCGGGTATCACCTGTAAGCGCGAACATTCCCATCGGCCATTGTCCCGGGAATCCTGGCACGGATTCCGCAGGAAGAAAGCCGCGCCCGGAAACGGAGTTCCGCCGTTTACGATTCCCCGGGCCGCCCTAAAACAAAGCGGAAGTGGAATAAGAAGTAGCCAAGTTCCAGCGGTCCTTCGCCACGCGGATCGTGAGACTTTTTCTAGATCGTTTCGCGGCGGCTCAAAGGGTCGCCGATAAGGATAACGATCCCGGCCGGGGACGTGACGTTAATTGGAAGAGGCCCAGACTCTATAGATCCCGGGGAGCCATTCCTCGATACCCCTGGCCGGGCCACCTGGCACCCTCCAAACGAGGAATCTTTAATTGGTTTCTACGAGACAAGAATAATTTTCGCCGCACTTTGCCGCGGCTACCTTCGCCGCCGTGCTGCGAGACTCTAAAACTGATTGCTATCGCCAACGAGATAGGGTTCTCGGTAGAGTTATCGGCTTCGTCTTGACGAGCTGGGAGATTAGGTCGGCTTCCGCCGAATCATGAAAGTATCGAATGCAGAATACTTCTGATTCCGGGATATCCGGATGTTGAGGATCGGGAATATTTTTCTGCTTCAGAATCAGGAAAGCTATTTGAAGAGTTTTTTATGCGAGGTTGTTCTCTGGACTTTTCTGAATATAATAGAGAATTTTTTGATAATGTTGCAAATGTTTGAACGTATCTGTGCAACATTCAGAGACCCTTTAACGCTGGAACGAGCGAACTGGTCAAAATGACTGGTTTCTGATTTTTTCTTTCGCAGTCACTGTATCTGTAAAAATATCTTAGAAATTTGTGCACGAACTTCTTCGTTCGAGCATCTATTGTAAGGAAGATCGCAGGGAGTTTCATACGATCGCACGATTATTTTCGATTTTTCGGAAGAAATAAATTTTTCTGATTTTTTTTCAATTAGATATTTGCGCTCGCCCGGCAATTTTACATAGGAGTTCAGCATTTAGAACGGTTCAAAAGATTAAATCCAACATTGTCATTGTTACAAAACAATACACATTAGTCGCGTTTAGGTTAATGTTTAGATTAGGTGATCGTGTTAACGCAACCAAGTATTTTAGTTACATTTTTCAATTTACAGTAATGTCTCCCTTACTGACGCTCCGATTGTCCACGAAAATGGACAATTTGGGAAACGATTATTCGAGCCTTGCAGCTCAT